TTTTTTGTTTGTTGTGTGTGTGTGTGTGTGTGTGTGTGTGTGTGTGTGTGTGTGTGTGTGTGTGTGTGTGTGTGTGTGAAAGAACAGCCATTTAGACTGTTTTGTGAGATATTGTTTCTTATGTGACATCCTGCTTTGTGTGAACTATGAAACTTCCATTCGAATAGGAAAATAGGAATAAAGAAATGCTCTGTAGGCCATGATAATCCTACAGGAGATGGACGAATAAGTGGTTTTTCGATTAAGCTTGTGATTAGACATATTATTGGGCTTCTTTCTTATTTTTATGATAAAGTATTCAAGGTGTTGGTATCTGGTTTCAGGGCTTTCCCAGTAATGGTAAAAACAAGGTGTGGCAGGGACAAGGTAAGGGAAATGTAATAAAGCTATATGAAAAGTGAAGAAATTTGTATTAAGTATGGGTTATTGTATAAGCAGTCAAGTACACATTCCAACCTGCAATATATCTTCTGGAAAAGTCTTGAAATATTTTTCCCGTTACCAACACACAATTATTAGTATTAAACACACACGTGCACACACAAAAAATACACTTGGACTAACCCCAGTTATAATCTTTTATCTTGCCCCATGCAAGAAAAAAATTAATTGATTATTTGTTAACCCCATTTTACCTTCAGCATTTGGTGAGAATTGTGATGTGGGATACAACCTCTTGCCGTATAGTCCTACTAATTGCCTGAAGATCAGGAACATGTTTGACGCGGATGTGTAAGTGATGGCAGCATTGGATTTTGTTTTTTATTGAATAAGGGTCAATTTACTAAAAAGTGAACATTTGAGTTTTGTCGGCAATAAGCATCTTTATGTGCATAATTCTGACTTTCCCCATTATTTTCTTCTTTATACATGTAAACATATTTGTAATGGGTTTTAATAGTCAGCTGTATTCATATATATGTATGTATGTATGCATGTGATATTCCAGAGAGTGTGGTCAAGACTGGCACATCTATGTCCAAGATGCTATTTTAGAGAAGTGTAAAGAGAATAAAGGAATTCTTCACCTGGCTGTGGACAAGACTTCCAAAGAGGTAAGTTCTTCCTTATTCTTTATTGAAGTGCAAGCTGATGGTTACGTGTGTTTTTCGTGTGCATGCTGCATTCTGAAAAATTTAAGAAAAAAGGACAAATTAAGATGTCATATATTCTGTGAACTGTCAGATTGATTGAATTATTTCTAGTGATGTATATTTTTATTAAAGAAATAATGACTGAAAGTCAAATGTACTGTTCATGGCTAGTGTCAGTTGTTTATTGAATGTCTGTCATGTATATATTTTTAACATTACTGATTATTTGACTTGTTTTTCCTAAGGGTTGTGTGTATATGAAGTGTACGACCCCAGATGCAGCAGGGGAAGCTTACAGAGCTTTACATGGCTGGTGGTTTGATGGTGAGTGATCATGCCANTTGAAATATGATCTGCCCCCCCCCCCCCCCGTCTCCCCCTCCTCCAGCTACAGGCTTGTGCTAAGAAATTTTTATCCTACATTTCAGCCATGTTACTTAACACAGGAAGTTGATAAGGCACTGGAAGCCATACATTTGTTAATGGAAGAATTGAATGATGCAGCAGGTAAGGCTTTCATTGACTCCCTAGTCACGTGGGGACTATTTCAACACACTCTAAAATCAGGACATCCAGAAGCTCAGCACCTGGGCCTCGTAATGGGCACATAATTGGGGGGGGGGGACCAGTATTATTTACAAACTGTGGCAAAATGGCTACGCCAAGGGGATGGTGAATATGATTATTTTTTGGGTCATTTATCTGTCAATTCATGTTTTAAAAGTTCAAATTGTTCTTCTATAAGTTCAATAGAAAGCTATCCGTGCACTTAGAATGCTTTCAATATTCTGGTTCATTTTAAGCTGTCTAGTTAAATTGCAGTAGGAAAAATTCGTGTAGGTTTCGTAAGACTGAAAATCTGACTAACTTGAGGAATTGGACAGTTAAAGGGATTATGGAGGAATTTGGATATTGGCAACAGTGAAGCCATAGCAGTGAACCATACTGTAAAGAAGATAACCTTTTCTAAATGTGGACTGAGACAACACAATGTAAAGTTTAAAATTGCATTTCAGTTTTGTTTTCATTTTCGGTTTCAGTGGCCGAACTTTGTGGTTATGAGACAAAATACACCGGAGGAGGATTGGATAAAGATCAAGTGAAAGAAGTATTAAAAAATAAATATCAGGTATTATGACTCAGCAATTGAATTAAACCTTTTTGTAATCTGTTTATACTGGTAAATCGATTTTTTCTCTTTTTGTTTTGGTGATCATCCTGTCTGGCTTGTCGTAGTAGAATATGATAAGCTTAATGTATTACATAACAAAGAAAATGAATAATAAGTTGCAGACATATCATTCCTTAACTACTCCCAATTAACCGTTATTTTTTAACTCAAAAATGATCAGAATTAACAAAAATATTAAGTTGAATTACATAGTTATTTTAAAAATTAAAAAATTCAAAGTATGAAGTTTAGACTTTATTGTAGGATGATGAAAAGCATATGGCAGTGATTGTGGATTTGGTCAGAAAGAATCCCCACTGGGGTATAAGGTAATGAGAGTTCATCTAAATGATGTTAAAAGTAAAATCTATAAAATGAAATAGAAAAATTAGCTCTGGAGGTGGACAAGCATTGGTCAATACTGCAGTGAGATACTGCAAAAACTGTCTTACATTGAAAACCCCTCCTACCCAGAAATAGACAAAAAAATGAATAAACATATTAAAAACATGAAGAAAATTGAATTTAAGAAGACAATCTAAATTAATTAATAAAGTAATAATACTAATATATTACAATTTACTAGAAAATGTTTTTTTCCAAGGAATACATAATGATCTTTATCTTAGAAAGATGACGGCCATATTGTTTCATTTACAGCATTGCTAGTAGAGACAAGAAAACGCCTGCCGCCAGTGTCTATGGGGCTGTCTGGTTCACAGTGGACAGTCCGCACATGCCAGTTTGGTGTCGTGTGAAACGTGCTGTCATGCAAGTGTTCTATCAACTCCTCTTTGTGGCTGCAGGTGAGATCAGTGACGATAATTGAGAAACGGTAAAAATGATGTTTGTTGAAATGATGGAATATTTGTGAAATTGAATTTATGTTATGTAAGGGGATGTGTGTGTGTGCGTGTGTGCACGCACGCAAATGCAAGTGTAAATCCCTTCTCTTGTGTTAAGTTAAAGTGATGGGATGCACGCAAATGCAAGTGTAAATCCCTTCTCTTGTGTTAAGTTAAAGTGATGGCAATAGTGGTTGATCTTGACCTCAGTTAAAGATTTTATCATATATTCTCTTTAAATACTAGAATGAAATTTTGGAACTAAGCACGTGATAAAATGAAAAAGATAAAAAAGGATGACATACAGTCAGCAGGGTTTCAGCCTTTTTGCCAAAGTTTCCTCATGCCTGCTCGAGACATGTTTTCTGTATGCCTTATTGAATTACATTTTTAAAAATTTTGATCTTTAATTTTAAATATGCAGGATTGCTGGTGTGTGGGGTTGTAGTGCTGGTGTTGAGATACAGACGCAGACATCAGGACGAGGAGACCAAGGAGGTGTACCACCTGGTGGAGAGAATTATAGGTAGGGAATCGGATCTTAAATTTTCTTTTGCCTCAGATTCATTAACTTTTTAGATACTCACAGATCTGACTCACAGATGTCACTGGGCTTTCTGTGGTGTCCCTAGTAGTCGATTGGTGTCAAAGTTTAGTTTCATTTCTTTTGTTTGATTTTGCAGATATTATGAAGAGGCATAATGATGAGTGCCAAGTTAATAAGTCACTGGAGCCTTATCTTGCCATTCCACATGTTAGAGACATGCTGATCCCTCTTCAGCTCAGGTACGGGACTGTCATTGCTACTACTGCCCCCTATGGACAATAAAAAGAGGCAGTTTCTTAACTTTTTAATGTCAAAGTTATGTGGGCCCATTGGGTCACAACCTGGTAATATTGTAGCTTAGGCAGTTCAATTGAGGTGAGGTGTTATGAAGGTCATACAAGGGATAATATCTGAATTTGAAATTGGTACAGGATAAAATTTAAATCAAACTCGTAAAACATTGTTTTACTAAATCCTGAAACGTGTAACATGTCACCTATAAAATGCACTGACATGCCAAAAGCACTGAAAAATTGATTGAAAGAATAGACAAATAATTGAAATAATAATGATAATGATGCTGAATAATAATTATTATTATACTAAATACAGCAGCTGTATTATTTTTTTATTGTTTACAGGAGGAAGAAGCAAGGGGTGTGGGATAAATCAGTGAAATTTCTGGCAGCAAACGAATCTCGTATCCGGGAGGAAACGCAGCATGTGAAAGGAGAAGAGTTTGCTGTGTGGCGGTGGATAGGGGTGAGAATAATTTTTTTTTTTTTTTTTTTGTGTGTGTGTGTGTGTGTGTGTGTGTGTGTGTGTGTGTGTGTGTGTGTGTGTGTGTGTGTGTGTGTGTGTGTGTGTGTGTGTGTGTGTGTGTAAGAACAGCCATTTAGATTGTTTTGTGAGATATTGTTTCTTATGTGACATCCTGCTTTGTGTGAACTATGAAACTTCCATTCGAATAGGAAAATAGGAATAAAGAAATGCTCTGTAGGCCATGATAATCCTACAGGAGATGGACGAATAAGTGGTTTTTCGATTAAGCTTGTTATTAGACATATTATTGGGCTTCTTTCTTATTTTTATGATAAAGTATTCAAGGTGTTGGTATCTGGTTTCAGGGCTTTCCCAGTAATGGTAAAAACAAGGTATGGCAGGGACAAGGTAAGGGAAATGTAATAAAGCTATATGAAAAGTGAAGAAATTTGTATTAAGTATGGGTTATTGTATAAGCAGTCAAGTACACATTCCAACCTGCAATATATCTTCTGGAAAAGTCTTGAAACTATTGAGATATTTTTCCTGTTACTAACACACAATTATTAGTATTGAACACACACATGCACACACAAAAAATACACTTGGACTAATCCCAGTTATAATCTTTTATCTTGCCCCATGCAAGAAAAAATTAATTGATTATTTGTTAACCCCATTTTACCTTCAGCATTTGGTGAGAATTGTGATGTGGGATACAACCTCTTGCCGTATAGTCCTACTAATTGCCTGAAGATCAGGAACATGTTTGACGCGGATGTGTAAGTGATGGCAGAATTGGATTTTGTTTTATATTGAATAAGGGTCAATTTACTAAAAAGGGAACATTTGAGTTTTGTCGGCAATAAGCATCTTTATGTGCATAATTCTGACTTTCCCCATTATTTTCTTCTTTATACATGTAAACATATTTGTAATGGGTTTTAATAGTCAGCTGTATTCATATATATGTATGTATGTATGCATGTGATATTCCAGAGAGTGTGGTCAAGACTGGCACATCTATGTCCAAGATGCTATTTTAGAGAAGTGTAAAGAGAATAAAGGAATTCTTCACCTGGCTGTGGACAAGACTTCCAAAGAGGTAAGTTCTTCCTTATTCTTTATTGAAGTGCAAGCTGATGGTTATGTGTGTTTTTCATGTGCATGCTGCATTCTGAAAAATTTCAGAAAAAAGGACAAATTAAGATGTCATATATTCTGTGAACTGTCAGATTGATTGAATTATTTCTAGTGATGTATATTTTTATTGAAGAAATAATGACTGAAAGTCAAATGTACTGTTCATGGCTAGTGTCAGTTGTTTATTGAATGTCTGTCATGTATATATTTTTAACATTACTGATTATTTGACTTGTTTTTCCTAAGGGTTGTGTGTATATGAAGTGTATGACCCCAGATGCAGCAGGGGAAGCTTACAGAGCTTTACATGGCTGGTGGTTTGATGGTGAGTGATCATGCTACCAGGGGGAGCTGTCGTAATTAGCCCCTATGCACACGATGCCATCTAGTGGAGTCACAGACTCGGTCACTTCATAAATAATTAAGACACAGAAGGAGTGATTGAAGATGAACTTGTCACATGCTTAATTATTATTATCACTAAATTCTCTTTGAATACTGTGCATATAGTCAATTTATCACTTAAATTACTACTTAAAGTATGTACTGTTTGCTTTTTTAATTGTTTTGTTGTTATCTAGCAATTATTAAATCTTTACAAAGGTGAATTGTAGAAGAAAAGAAAAGACTGTCACACTCACATACCACTTTGTGTGTTTACCAATGAATTCTTATTAGTTTGAAAAAGATTGATTTCACTGTCTGGTTTCTTTTAAAACTTTACTAGAAATTCTTAAAATTAGCTATGAAGTTATTGTCAAAAGCATGGCATTTGATTTTCTTTAAAAGGGTGAAATTTTTCTCTCTCTGTAATTTTTTTCCAGTATTTCATACTTCAGTTCTTCATCTCTAAACTTTTTTCATTTTTTTTGTTCAATTGACCATCTTGTCCCTCTGTTTTTTTTTAAGGCAACCTTGTCACAGTGAAGTACTTGAGATTAGAGCGCTATCACGAGAGATTCCCAGACGCAGCAAACTCCACAGTTCCCCTGGTGCCCTCCAATAACAAGATGAGATCTCTGTCCCAGCCGTATCATCGCTCACCGTTAGAGAGATCATAGATCACGCAGACAAACTTGTTTTGCCAACTCAATAAGGCAGTGGATGTCCCAGTTTATATATTAGCACTAGCCTTGGTATTGGTTCAGATTGTTTCACCAGCTATTCAGTAAATTTGTTTGATAAGGTGTCAAGCTGATGTAAGTTTGTATATTGTAGTCTAATCAGACAAGTTAGATATATTATATATATATATATATAGGTTAAAATAGATATTGTATAGAGATGATATTGAATGTGTGTACATGCACATTGAGAATATTATGTGAACATTTTGCAGGATATTCCTGGTCATAGATGGTGATAAAAGTCCACGGTTAAGATAGTGTGTAAGGGCAAGGTTAGCAAAAATGATAAGCAGTCACAATTATGTGAAGTTTATCTACTATTTCCGACATTTAGTTTTTGGCATGGATGTGGGGTGGGGAGTTGATAAATTAAAATACAGACCAGATGCAGTTTCCATATATTTCAGCTCAAATTTACTGAATTTCACCTTATTTGTGTATACAGCACTACGTATTGTTGTTTTACGTCTGGTCAGGGTATGTTGTATTGAAACATAATTCTTGGGTATTGTAATGCGTATGCACAATTTAGAAAATATTGTTTCATCAGCAATTTTTTTTAAATACAAATTAAGAAGTTCTTTTTTGAACAGCTTGGAATATGCATTGATACTCTGCCAGCAAATGTTGCATATGGTTTCTCTTAGAATTCCTCATTGGATGTGGCTGTGAAAGACATTCTTTGGAGAACTGATTGTAAGCAGATAAAGCAGCAGTAGGTAAAGAAAACAATAAAATTCCCAAGCTGTTCAGGAAGGAAGTTTTTTTTTCATTTTATTATTATTTTTTTCTTCTTATTATTATCAATTATTGTGTTAGAGTTGAGAGTGTGTTAGTTGTGACTGTGTAAAGAATATCCATTGTGTTGGGTGTGACAGTCAGTGCAGCCCTTAGAGGAAAGAACTACTTTTATAAACGTTTCTTTATTTGTACATAACTTATACCTAGTCAGATGTTAAAAGGCACAATTACCACATGGTGTGTTCATAGAGAATGTGCAAGAGTTGTAGATAGATTGATACCAGTTGAGAAGAAATATAGTCAAATAATTAATAGTTTTACAAGGTTTGCGTAGCCTATGGTTTGCTTGTGTTTGGACTGAGAGAGAGAGGTGAGAGAGAGAGAGAGAGAGAGAGAGAGAGGAGAGAAATTGAGAGAGATAATTACTCACAAACATCAAATACCATTTTTTTACAAAATATAATTTTTTTCAAGCTTTCTTTTGTTAAATTACTTTTGTTACAATGGTCAGAGAAATCAATTATATATAAGATTTGAATTGACCGCCTCAAAATAAAGTGAAGTATAGTTGATCATAAGAAAACAAGGGGTGTTAAGGAAAATGTTTTTTACGATATCCAGGAAGAAGACCAGGGCCAAATTCACAAAAGTCAAAAGTTATTTTTTACTTTTAAGACCCTAAAATTATATCCAACTTCAGGACAAATCTGTAGTAGATTTTGATAAACAAATTAATAAACTGAAGTAACACAAAATGTGGGGTGATCTTGAAGGAGCCCAAGATTTTGGTCTAAAAAAATTGGAACATTTTTTTTTCGATCTAAAGACCAACTGAGAAACCAGTCCTGGAAAGCCATTGATGTTATCCTCCTCATCCACTCAGTGTGGTAGGTTTAGCTCTGAGAAAGGGGGGGGTGGGGAGGAGGGGGGAGGTATGTAACAGGCAATTGCAATCTAGAGGACTCTATGGAAGGTTGAACAAAAAATAGATGTAGTTGAAAAGGTCTTACATACCCAGTGAGGGTAATTAGTATAAAGGCTGATGGTCAGATAATAAAGACCAAACCTGTTGAAGAGCTTCATTACAGAGATATTATATCTCTGACGTCTTTCTCCCAAATCTTCACATCTCATTTTCCAATTAGTGAAATCCTATAAGCTTTAATAAGATTAGTTATTATTTTGTGTAATAATATAGTTACTAGTATTACAAGCTAGGTCATGAAGGGGTCCGTAGACTCAAGTGTTGTAATCCTATGGAATTTGAATTTATATCATTGCCAAGTCAACGGCACTATGTTTTTGTGTTAGTGTCATGTTGGCTTTTAATCAGTATGTAGATAAAAGTAAGATATTAGATAAATAAAACAATATTGTTCTCACAGCATTTTATTTGAACTTATTATTTTTGTTTCATAGTAAGGTAGATATTTTAATTGAGCAAACTATACTTTATTCCCTGGTTAAGTATAAAATCAAGACTGCATTACCTATATAGAATCGTTGAACGAAACTAAATATCACCCAAAGAAATTTACTAGAGGTATTTCTACTGGATTTTAATTTCCAGACTCCTTTATACTGAAATTTGTAATAATACCCGGTAATGTGTACCTTGATACTTGATTCCTGGTTTGCATTATAATAGAGATGATATAGAAACTTTATCTCTTGGCTAACTATGTGAAAGTAAAACCCTGTACAAATAATAATAATAAATACAATAATTTTATATAAATAATTTCCTTCCACATACAATCTAAGAACTGCTCTAATAAATTTTGACTTTTCAGTTGACTTTAAAAGTTGATTATGAGCATTAACAGCCATATTCATACAATATCAAAAAGTGGGAGAGAGAAATTAGTGACCGTACATACATACTGATAAAAACTAAATGGTTCCTAGAGTCTGCTACTTGTGAGGGAAAAACGATTCAAGTATCTGAAGAAAAAAAAATACTAATTTTTTTTTCGTCATTATTACATCATAAAAACATTTCTTTCGATATGTATATAGCCTTGTAAATGCATACTTATACTTGATATGATTCGATAAAGAACAATCTTCACCCAAGAAGCTTATACAAGAAGGTGGGGGGGGTCTCTTAATCACTTGAATCATCCTTAACCATACTCCATGCTACTTAAACTAGCAAGTGACAGGTAAAATAATACATATGTGATGGAGACCCATGCCTACCAATAACAAGATGGATACACATAAGATGATATGTAAAATGTCATACTACTTTAAACTCAAAAATTTGAAAATTTTACATTTAGACATTTTTTTTATTATCACAGATGGAGGTAACATTAGGATAACACCAACACTGTTCTCACAGCTCATATCTGTTATAATGTTATAATGAAGCCATACCAGGGTTCCACTTGCACTGTCATCACCATTTTTTTAAAAAAATGTCATCACATACTAGAAAACAATTGGCATATGGCATGTCAAAGATTGGTAAAAAGATTTTTTTATGTAATGCACCCAAAAAAATTTTAATTCACCTTAACAACCATAACACATGCACATATGCATAAATAAATATCACAACTCCTGAACAAAAACTGCAATTATATAACGATGACACTTGAATAACAAAAACAGTTTCCAAAACCAATATGATAAAAACGCAAAGATACTGCTTTCTCAAACATATGAATAATGTAGAAGAAAAAAAAAACATGGCAAGCCTTCTCACTGAGAAACTTGAAAATGGACAACACAAAACAATCAAATTTCCTCTTAAAAAGGTGGGTATTATTGATTTACTGGCAGTTCCTTAACAACAAATTCCACTTGCCAACTTTCACTCCTCATCTTATTTCTTCTACTCGTAGTGTCATGCCTTTTCAGCAATAAGATAATCTCATGACGAAATCTGGTTGAATACGTGAATTTTCTTTTTCTTACTCCAATAAATAAAAATATTAATATTTTGTACAAAAATATCTTGATAACAGCTACATAGTGTATTAAAAGCTTGCCAATCCAGTATTATAATTAATAAGCATACAGCCAAAACAATTTGCATGTTCGATTTGCAATCAAATGTTAAAATGCTTACACAGTGAAAGGAATAAAAATGAACACAATACTGTATTAACATTTTCATAAATTATATGAAAAATGATGAAAAAAAAATAGAATGGTTGTGTTGGGAATCGCCAAGAAGAAGTCTCAATATCAAAAATGAGGTTTGTTTTAATTAGAGCAAATTATTTGAGGAAATAAACAAATATTGGGAACACATAAAGGTGACGATATGCATTTAGTCTTTAAAATGCAGTCATGATTATCATAAATTATGACATTTGTCAAGACTCCTATCATGCACTGACCTTATTTGTGTAAGATGTGCCATCTGTTGTGAACCAACAAAAAATTAAGTATTGATCCAGCAGTCTCATCTATTGCAAAGGATGTCCAAAATAAAATTTAAACAATATTATCATAGCAATCAAAATTGTTCCAATAATGCTCAATGTTTCATTCATTGCATCAGGTGTTCCAATCATTGCACAAGATGTTCACCTAATTGTGTTAGATGTTCAGCTCATTGTGCTAGATGTTCCATGAACTGTGTCATATGTACTGTTCATTGTGTTTTGGAGACCAGCATCTGGGAGTAATGGAGCCTTCTCCTGTTCTGTTTCTTGCACAGATTGTGTATGCACTGGAGATGTCCTCTCAACTTTTAACCAGCGGAATGATAGCAGCAACATTACCTAAAACAAGGTAAAAAATATCATGCCTAAACTGAGAAAATGTGCGTACAATTCAAAACAATTAATCATTTTTTATTGAGTGTACTTAGGATGTAGTATTTATCAAAAATTCATTTCATAAGGCATATATGATGTCATTATTACATTATCCCCTGCACAGCATCCCCCACCCCAAATCATTCCCCTCATTTTTTATTCCACACCCTAAGTTTCAGAAGTCCATTCAATACTCAGCATTCTTCCGATGTTAAAAATAAACAGGAAAGACATGCTGATAACAGAGGCAGGTTTCGAGTGACCTCCAAAACTCAGGGTGCTTTCATCCTCTCATCTTAATCCCCCCCCCCTTTACTTACTGTGGCCAACACCAAAAGCCCCAGCACCACTCCCAGCATTACGTACATCCTAGATAACAAAGCACCAGACCACAGGGGACCTAGGATGGTGCCTAAACCCAGCATTGTGCGCCTTAATCCATGCCCAAAACCTGAAATAGGAACATATATATATTAGTATAAATTTATTTACATAATCACAAATATTGATATATTTGCGTATTTATATTGTACAATTATTCATTCATTAATGTATTTATCAATTCATTTATAAGTTCGTGAGAGGGAAGAGATAGAGAGAGAGAATGATTTATGTAATGATAAACAGCAATGAAAATTTAACCTACATAAGCACTGATTACGTACCCTGTGTTTCCAAACGTGTAATTTTTGAGTACAGAGAAATGCCACAAACAGCCATGAAAGGCAACCCAAACACATCCAGGAAAATACCCAATATTAAGGCAGGTAATATCAGTGGTGTTTCTAATAAGAAAGAATAAAACTTCTAAAAGATACATATTCAACAGATAATCATAATAACACAATGCAAAATGATATTTTGTAGGTGTGACAGTATGTTTGTTATGGCAGTGACTTATCTGTGTCCCAATAGTTATATTGAAAATGATTGTGATACATAACATTGTGTTAGGTGAGACAGTGTGTTAGTTGTGAGAGTGTGTTGGTTGTGACAGAGACTTACCAGGTTTAGCAATGGGCAGGTAGTAGGTCATGAAAGCTATGCACGCAATCTCCACCAGACATCCAATCAAAATCATTGTTCGGTCTTGTAGCCTTTTACTCAGGAAATGTACCAGTATGAAAACACTTATAACCTGTAAAAACAATAAGAACCTGAAAATTTTGTGCCCTCTTTGAGTGTTTACCATTTGTATTTCTTACCAAAATATTCTTTAACATTATTCAGTGTAGTACATGGTTTCTTATCTGTTACAGTGCTTTGTAAGTTGTTTTGTGTGTGCAAACAGACAAACAGATGGTGATAAAATGATACTTTCATTCTTAGCAAGACAGAGGCATCCACCCCAAGTTAATTGTCATTTGGTGCCAAGATGAAACAACTGCCTGATATTAAAAAAAAAAAAAAGCTGTACCCAACATATGACACAAACAAATAGCTCCATCTGTTTTCTCCAAATGAACATACAACGTGGAAAAATACAAGGGTATTTTTAACCAGTCAATTAAAGGGTTATAATAAGTTAATTGAATGATAAATTGTACATAATGTGTCGGGTGACATCTTACTTACCTCTACACCAGCTAAACAATACATAATACTGTTTTCAAACTCTCCCCAGTTTAAAAGGCTTTTGGTTAGAGGTGTCACAAATGTCTGGAATACACAGCGCATATTAAAATAAAAGGTTAACGCAAAATGGGTGTATTTTCATATAAAAATGACATGTTATTTATAAAAAAAATGCAATAATTACATCATTTTGATCCAAATTTAAATCAATCCTTCAAAATCAATAAAAAGAAGAAAAGAGATTAAGAAAGATTGAAAGAAAGAAAAATGCCAATTGCCAAAATAAAAATAAAGCAATACAGATAACAGATATCATTTAAGAACTATTAATATTCTATAACTATGTGTGAAATTTTTATCATGTAAAATCCAAAGCTTCAAAAACATCTATACCTCAAGTCCTGTCTGCATGAACATACTAACAAAGGAAACAAAAAGGAGTAAGACCACTTCCTCTCGCAGAAATTCTGAAACAGCAAAAAAAGACAACTTTGATAAACCATATTTGATGTACTGTAAATATTCAAACTAGTTGGAAACTGAGGCACAAATCTGAAAAATATTCACTATCTGAAGTCTAAAAGCACAGAGAGGCAGGGGAGGCAAGGAAAGGAAGAGTTTGGATAAAATCCAGGGCTCAGATGAAAATTCTGAAAATTAAAAAAACCTGAAGTATGTTATTTAACATGAGGGGTTTTTAGACATCAATTTGAGAAGTGGGAAGTGAGACACGGGATGCAAAACACGAAATCAGAACACTCAAATGAAATTTAAGTAAGCTGTTCCAATATTATCTGTAACCCAGGTAACCATGTAGTTACCAACCTTGTCTAATATAACTCCATGTCAGTTTTTGGTTGGTTGCACTTTTCACTTCAACAATATATTGATTTTGTGGATTGTCTGAATTCACATATTCGCCATGCTCGCGCAGCAATTGTTCACTCTCATAAATGGGTCCTGGATCAACAAGACCCGAGGGAGAAATACTCCGAGGTCTGTCTGTGTTTAAACTGCTCTCAGAATGAATCCCACTATCTGGAACACTGTGCAAGTTACTTGTTGGCCTACTTTCATAACTAGATGAACTTCCCCCATTCATCTGGGGGTCAGTGTTTGTGGTTATTTTTGGTTTTATTGCTGGTAGTTCTGGTAAGTTGTGATAGAATAATAGGACAACTATTTGCATGACTGTCCACAGGACGGCCATGAAAAGCTGCAAAGTAAAGAGAAATTGGTATTTCAGATAACGATTGAAAGAGAGGATGACTGAACAATTTTACAAATGACCACATAAAGATGTTTTAATTTCCATTCCTTTACTCTAGTAGCTGTATATGATAATTAATTGAAACGAAATGAATCAACAAATTTCCACAAAACAATCTTTTAATTTTTAAAATTACTTTAAATACTGATTTTAAAACTTTGAAAGTTTTACTGAATATGTGTTGGATAGTACATCTTTGTAAGGTTGAGTCTACCATTTTGTTTCAGAAAAAAAACCCCTGAATCTGTGTCTGTACTACAATAACTCACCCCAGGTGCTGTGTAAGCATCCACAACATAGGGTCCAATGGTGAAGTTAGATTTACGTAAGAATAAGTTCAAACCTGGACCTACAGAGAAAGTAATAAGAAAATATCAAATGAAAAGTCAAATCATGTACCAAATAGAGTTTTAAAAGATAATGCTGACTACATGTAGTAGGCATTTTTTTATTTGACTGAAAATAATTCTGTAAATTAAATCAAATTTATAGTCAAAATGATCCTGTACCACGTAATACCAAAAAGAAATTGCATGTTATACTTAATACATTACTTGGCATACTAAACTTGAAACAATAAACTAAAAAAATAAGTCAGAGAGAGAGAGAGAGAGAGAGAGAAGGGGGGGGAGACTTATTGTGTTAGTTGAGACAAAGCTCTGTCACTCACAATGTTGGGTGTGCCTTACCTACAACCAGGCCCACTTGTCTGGCAATCATAAGAGTTGCTAATACTGAGGTCCTCTCCTCTATATGTGTGGCCCTTGACACATCTGCTATGATGGCAGCTCCAACTCCAGTGCCAACACCTAAAGAGACATTACCACACATTGCTCTTATTTGTTAAAGAGTACTTAAATTACCAAATATATACCTAAACAGAACAGTATTTCTCCTTTTTCAAATTTCTGAAGAGCTTTAGAGATACACAAACATAGAATATTTTCTTCTTTTCGAATGAGTTATAAGATTTCTCAAAAAGCTTTTGCATAATGTTAAGTGTTTCACCCACTGTATATACTTCAAACGCTACATGTATGATCTAGGTATCAAATAAAAACCATACCTGCCACTAGCCTGGAGCCTAGTAAAAACCACTTAGATATTCCCAAAAAATACATAATGTTTCCTCCTATTTCCCACAAGTTTGAAAATAACAATAAAAGTTTGGTTTGTCTGGTTTTGTCGCCCCATCTGTAATAAAACGAAAGACTAAAACTTTTGAAAAAATAAAAAAAAAAATTAACACATGGTAACACATGTACAATACAAGTATACACCTAACACTTAGTACCAATCATATTCAGACCATATGGTTACACATACATATACACAATCCAAATACAGAATTATAACATACTGGTACTGGTGAAAAACACATGTTAACATACTGATAAATACTATATATATGGTCACATACTGGTACATATACACAATGCACAGTAACATACACACAAAACATGGTCATAAAAAAAATTTTACACAACACATGGTAAAATATACACATACCTCCCCATGATTGGCCCAGCAAACAGCCCAGTGACACTGAATGCAGACAGTATCATACCCAGAAAGTACTGCTCAGCATTGTACCGCTCATGGATATATAGCCATAGTGTAGGCAGAATTACAGCTACAGAAAGAAATAAGAAGGTGATAAACTTTATAAATCACATTACAAAAAAAAGTACTGCATTTTTGTATTGCTTTTATAGAATTAAAATTTTATAGTTTGTTTTCTTAAAGGGATAATAACTCTTCGTATGAGATCTATATTTCACAATGTAAACAATGTGAATAACTCATAGAAATATAATATATTCTGTTTTACCACAAAAAACGGCAGTTATAGCTATTATTCTGATATCTGAGCTTGTCTTTAGACCACGTGACCTCCATTGATGGCTATACTCTGTTAAAATCTCTTAAGAGATTTTAACAAAAAAACAAACTTTTTAGAAAAAACCAGGGACTAACTTTGAATGTAAAAATGGACTCATTAACCATTGGTAAGTATGGGAAAATTATTGTTTACTCCAGGAAAATTAATTTTTTGGCCGAAACGAAGAGTTATTATCCCTTTAAGTAATTTCTGTTTTGTGAAGCAAGAAATGTTAACAATTTTTTTTAAATATATTATAAGCCACAGCCTGTATTTAATAATTAAGGACCATTTCTAAGAGCTACATTTATACATATAATAGTAGATGCCAAAAAACTGAGGCAATGGTTTCCAAGACAGTGCTACTTAAAGGGATAATATCTCTTCGTATGAGGTCTATATTTCACAATAAAAACATTATGAATAAGTCATAGAAATATAATATATTCTGTTTTACGACAAAAACAGCAGTTATAGCTATTATTCTGACACCTGAGCTTGTCTTCAGATCACGTGACCTCCACTGATGGCTATACTCTGTTATAATCTCTTAAGAGATTTTAACAAAAAACCAAACTTGTTAGAAAAATCCAGGGACTAACTTTGAATGTAAAAATGGATTCATTAACCATTGGTAAGTACTGTATGGGAAAATTGATGTTTACTCCAGGAAAATTTATTTTTTGGCCAAAACAAAGAGTTATTATCCCTTTAAGGAGTCTGGTGTTATTCATAATTCATTCATTGCATTTTGACCAATCAGAAAATGTGATTTTCACGTGAGATTTAATAATAAATAATTCTTACTGTCCAACTCTTGAGCAATACTGTTAAGATAACAATCAAACCTCAAGGATACAGAATCAACACAAACTTAGAAATTAACAAATTTTATCACATTACAAAAAAAAAAAAAAAAAAAAAAACAGCTTTTAGGCAGTATTGCTGTACTGCTTTTATATATTTAATTTTAATTTTATAGTTTGTTTTTATAAGTATTTCCTGTTTTGCAAAGCAAAAGATTTGTGAACAGTTTATCAGAACAAGTGAGATTTGCTTGAGGTATAATAATAAATAAATTCTTACTGTCCAAATCTTGAGCAATTTTGTCATGATAACAATCAAGCCTCAAGGATACAGAATTGTCACAAACTTAGAAAGTAACAATTTATAATAGTAGCAAGGGGCTTATGACTTCATTTAAATCCCACATTTAAAGACCCCTTTGTATTTCTTGTGTAAATTAAAGCAAGAACTCATCATAGCATAAAACCCTTGTTTACTGTCTCCATGATGGCCTCCCCCCAAAAAAGTAAACAAACAAACAAATTTATTAAATTTAAATATAATTATTAAAATCATGTTTTTAATAAGGAAAAAAAGACGACAATTAAATAATATGGTTATCCAAAGGAAGATCAAGCTATTATCCTAACCGCTATACATTTAAATAAGGTGACGATAAAACATATCAGTCGCTATCTCTGATAATACCTGTAGCGGGTCAAAAATAAGAACGTGGATGCAAACGTCAAAAGTTGAACTTACCGTACTCAACACCTCCAAAGAACCAAAACGTACAAATGGTGATGTAAGTCGTCCGCTTCTTCCACTTTGCATTCATCTTTATATATTTTGCCTAGGCTATCTGATGTAACTGGGCACTCGAACAGGCGGCATGCCGAAAATGATGAAATTAACGGTAAATGGAAAGTAACGTTGGTCGATTCCTGATGCCGGTAATATCGGTGGCAAGTCGAATTCACTAATCGTTTCCGGAATGTCTGCTATCTCAGACCACGCAAGAAGTTACAACTACTTGGACCACGGCACAGATGTCATCTTAGGCCAGAAAAGTTTTGGCTGTGTACGCCTTTCCACGAAATAGAAGGGATTGTTGTAATTGTTGTCTTTTATATCACTTTCTAACTTTCTTTTATTTTTTTGCTGAAATGTATTATTCTTAGAGGAAACAAGGAGTTACAACAGTTGTAACTCCTTGGAGGAAACTTTTCTTAAAGTGGAAATAAAGTTGCATTGAAATCTATAAACCGTTTATTGGTGCAACAATCTTCAACATTTCAGTTTCATAAATGCCAGCTCTGTAATATCCATTCATAAATATTTAATGAACCACGATTGTTTAAAAAATAATGGTCATTAAAGGAAATGAAAAAATTAAATTAATTTTTCTCAAGATCTTAAAAATAAACGGGGCCGTAGCAATAGTCCGAAGGTTCAATAGTCCGAATATTCACTATAGAACCTTCGGACCAATGAACCCTTGATTAAAAAATTGATGAAAATGTTACCACTTTTCGGACCAATGAACCTTCGGACCAATGAACCTTCGGACTATCGAGACGCCCCCCTTAAAACATCAATAGCCTATTAAGAAATTGTTTATTCTGACTGAAATAATGCAAAAATCCACCGAGCAAATAATTTATCTTATTATTTTTTAACACTGTGACCTGAGATTACGCTTGTCTTCTGGCCTTAAATGACACATAACGCTAATCGTTGGCCTGACCTGAATGTTCCCCAGGTTACAGCCAGCTACTTCTCACCACGAAACTTTTTTGTGCCTGAAAATTTCATTAATCTGTTTATTTGAACAATTCTGAAATAAATGATGATTATAATAAACAATGATCAAAATTATCAAATTATCTCTTTGATCTTATTTATCTGTCCTGGGTGCGGCTATCTTGTATCTCCAGCCGATTCAAATCGATGACGCTTTGATTTCATTTTTATGGACAAGGAAACCGGAACGCAAATCACTACGAAGAGCGCATTTTAATGGTTTTTGAAAGATCTGAGCTAAACCCAACTGAAAATAAGATAGTCTAAATGATTGTTTTGCTGCTGCTTAGTTCGTGTAAGTAACTTCATGAAGTTTTTGGAACGATAGAAAGAGTCGAATTTAAATAGATTGACCTTGTTTCAAGAGCAGCAGAACCAGTTTGTAGGATAACGTGTTGTTTTTCACCTAATTAACTCATTGAATTTCTGTTAGTCTATTTATGTGATTGCATTCGGCTAGAGTCCCCGTGGAGCTAGTGCGACATGACTCATTCCGAACGTCTTGTGTACCTGTTCTTAACCCTCGACTACAGAATAGAACTTTATGAAGATGTTTGAAATTTTTAATTATCGACAAGCCTTAACTAAAATTAAATTTGGTGAATACTTTTATTTTTTAAGTTGATTTGATATGTGACCATTGTGTTTTTCTGTTTTTAATGTTTCCGTTTGTATCTCTTTTAAAATTAGCAAGAACTTTGTGTTTGTCTTCATTATCTGTCCCTGGAATGTGCAGTGCATAAAAGAAAAGGGGCACACTTGTTTTGATTAATAGGCTTCATAGCAGTAAGTACACTGCTGGTAGTACAAATTTATCAATTGTCAGTTAATTTACTTTTTCTTATTGTGTTTATTTCAAGATTCATTGAATTTTTCTTTGTCTCAGTTTCAGAATGACGGATGCAGTGAGTGCAAATGATGTGGGCCTAGTGGTATTTGATACAGAACCTGGCAGACACCCCTATGATGACCAGCATGATATCAGCTCCACAACCAGCAGTACACGTTCTGTCCGCATCAACAACAGCCCTGTGTACCACGAATCTGACAGAAGCTCTGTCATGTCAGAAGAAAAAGTTGTGATGTCAAGAGATAATGGGACTAGGGTCATCATCACACGAGATCACCCAACGTTTCACCACCCAACGTATCACCTCACAGAGAAAAAACTAGAGATTATTGTGATTTTCTCCTATGTGGCTGTCGTTATCTTTTTCCCAACAGGTATCCCTGCTGTGCTGAATGCAAGGCAGGCTGATAAACAGTTTTATAGCAAAGGGGTGGAGAGAGGGGACATGGATTTAGCCAGGAAGTATGCTCAGAGGAGTCAAAATCTTATTATCGCATCAGTTGTGCTTGCCTTGTTGATTGTTTGTCTCGTATTGGCAGTCATGTTTTCAGGGGGGTCTGTTTCTCAAGGAATACATCTTTAAAATATGGTGAAATATATTTATTTTGCTTCAAGAAACTTGTATTTTGTATGCTGTGGGAAGGATTGTCTAGATGTTTTTATGCATGTTATAAAAATAAGATTAACTGACAACAAATTAAAGGCATTGGTAGTAAAGATGTATCTTGGTTATATTGACATGGATAGTTTGCTATAGTAGTTAGAGCATGTAATAGATCTGATGAAAAATGGTGCTGCTTTCATTTATTTTTAGTTAGTAAAGTACTTGAGCAAGATTTAAGTATCAGCTTGTGTTTATTTTTCATTTTTTTTTCTTGTATGGAAAATTTTTTATGTTTTTTATTTCTTTCTGTCTTTAATTATTTTTTATTACCAGACTTGTATGTGGTGCATGTTTTGAAGCCAGTATAAACAGAAGACATTGTATCCATATCTCATGACGTGAATATATTTGCTAAAAATAAATAAAAATAAATTTGATAAAAATAAATAAATAAATAAGATAAAAATCCAGTCTATGCAAACATGTAATCTGTGATAATTAGTAACCTATAGGCATTTAAAAAGAGGAATATTTTTCATTCACAATATTTTCTTTGTGAAACACATCCAAGGTAGTTGAAATAGCAGTGAAGTTGCTTTTTTCATGTGCATGCGGGAGCAGGCATTCACATTTTTGCCTACCTGCTTGCAGTACTTTATTCTAGCATGTTAACTTCTATTGTATTGTGCATAATATGCCACTGAATATATGAAATGCATAATGATAAAGAAACTGGTTTCTAAATGGCATGCTGATGTAATAATTGTTGCTCTCTGAAGAATTCTCTTTTCAGTTTGTGCAACTTTTTAAATTTATTTATTTATTTTTTGCTTAATGCTGCAGTAGCTAATGTGCAGATAAAGATAAAAAAATATTGGCTCAGGTCAGTGATTTTTATTCTCAACAGAATACGTCCACAAACCCACATAATGCTTCCACAAGGTTTTAACCGTTTTCCTACTGCATATTTTGGCCTATTATTTTGGGCCTATTGTTATGCCAAACTTACTGAAAACTGAAAAAAGAAAATTTAATTCTGTACTTGGTAATGGGGGCATCAAGTATTTTTTATACATTGGTAATGGTGATGTGTTAATTGAGGTAAAGTGGTGGTTATACAGATAGTATTAAATGTAATTCATAAATAAATGTGAAAGAACTGGTATAGAAAATGTAACTGTCAGACTACTCCATAAATGTTATTATGATTGTTTACTATTTTACCAACCAGATGAGTATGTAATTGAGTGTATTTGTAATGAATATAGAAGATTAAAGAACTTAAAAATGTCAGTTTATTTAAAAAAATGTAAAGTGACAAACGAGCAAATGGACTGAAAACATTACAGTATGTTGATGTTTGCATTGTGGCATTGAACTCTTCCATGTTATACTTGTCCTATTTTTCTATGCATAAATGAATGTGTTCCTGTACATAATTATCAAACAACAAATTATGGTAATCAACATTTTTTCTTTTATTTTACATGATTTAAAATTTTTAACATTATGACATGATTTCGGATGGAGAATCTCATTCTGTGGTCACCTTTATTTTCTTGGTCATGGGTCAGCACTTTGCTCAGGCAATAATACCAATTATCATTCCAACTAAACAGCAATATGTCTTTCTATATGCAATGGCCTATACATACATATCTATACAATTGATTCCAGTAATCATAACCATGGTGCACAGCACAGTATCGAAGCATGCTATATGCTAAAATCCATTTCTTTGGCTTTTTTATTTCCATGCAATATTTAAACTTTCTTGGAAGGCATGAAAAAAGTGGAAAAGGTGAAATTAAAGGAAAATAGCTAAAATGTTCTTTTCTAATTTTTTTTTTTCTGGGGGGAAAATTTGATTCCTCTTTGTGTAAATGTGAACTACTGAAGCTAGAAGAGAAATAAAATATGAGTGAATGATAAGTATACTTCATTTGTTAAGGTAAATCAGAATTTTGTTGAATTATGTTCAAACATATTTAAATCTTGAATCATGCATTGTTGCTTTTATTTTTGATCATCGTTATGACAGTAGCATGCAGTGGACATGGTTTAGGTTGAGGAGGTTATATCATCTTTGCAGCTTGCTTGGTTAAATCTACTTCAGGTGAAAGGGTATACCTAAGGCTTCTAATTTTACTAGTGTTTATAATCACTGTCATTATCTCTTGATGTGGCACAGCTGAAATAAAACTTTTTTTTAAAGAGAAGGTTTCAACTTTTTCACCACCAAAATTTTAAAGAATTCCTTGGTGATTTTTCAGTTTCACTGAACCTAAATCTGTACCAACTAGGTTGATTATTTACTTACAATATGAAGAGGAATGTATTTTAGATTTTTATAGGATGAAATATAGTATATAATACTATGCAATATCTCTATGTATGTATGTGATAAAATATATTTTTACTAACACCATGCAAGGCAGGACTTTCTCTTGGAGATTGACCTCAGGATACACTTAATGAAGATAGCTATGTAGCACTGATATTGTTATATCATTTTTCGTATTATTTGAAGTTGAATTTGAATAAATACTGAAAGTTCCCATTGTAGTGCATTGTTTTTTCTTTTTGATTTTCAAGTATTTCATTTAAAATCTTTTGTTGATAAGAAATACTTGCAGATAAAGTGAAAAATATAAAGGACTGGGCTTTTAGCATAGATTTTAGTGGATTATCCCAACATGTGCGTGTCATATCGGTAGGCAGCATATTCCCATTACCAGTACTACAGAGACGCCATATTGGGTCCAAGAAGAAAGAGAGGCAAAGCTGTCTGAACGACAATATAATCTTGTGGATTGGGTGTTGTTATGGCTGGGTTGCCGCGTCGTATAATAAAGGTAAACCCCAGCTTTTGTGTTTAATCAGATATACACGTCTGTCTAAATCTTGACTAGAAAACGTGTTGATGGAGACTGACCCGAACGGAAGACCGATCAGGAGATACCGACTGACGGACAGATGATTGACAAGCCATTAGAACTTGAGAATTACTAAACTGAAAGATAGATGACAAAGAAATCAGTGAAAGGGGTCCATTAACATTTCCCTAAATATTTTAAGGATCGAAGATCGTTTATTGTTGCCATTGTCTATTGATTTGTCATAGTGAGCTTGGAACTCGGAAGTTTAGTTTTCCGTCTCTCGAGGAAGAATGTAGAAAATCGTACTTTATTCTTCATATTCATATTTTAGTTAAATTACAAAAGTAGCCAACCATTGACATTGCCATTTCAAATTTTTTTTTGGAAAAACGGTCCCAATTTTGAACCTTAAAACAGTGATAAAAACAAAGACCGGTAATAAACCTAGAAGGAAAAGATAGGGAATTCCCCCAAACCAGCAATTGACAAAGACAATTTGAAATAAGGCGCACAAGTTTTATTTTGAAATAGATCCATTGGAAATCCAGTCATGAACTTTTTAACATGTTATCCTAAGCTGAATAGTGTTTTCTTTATCTTCTTAAGCTTCTTCATGTTTGGACATTGAATAATTTTACATGTAGTTAGTATGACTCATTGATGTCCCCCCCCCCCTCTCCCTCACTGTATTTGATGTATGTGGAATGAAGAGTCAGAGCTACTCTTAGCAAGTTTTGCAAAACGTCACACTCAACTTATTGGAGATTATGTGGTGCTTGATATCTACCTATTGTCCTTTGGGGATTTGTGTTGTTTTATATCTTGCCTGTTTCCTGTAAGAAAAAAGATAAGTCCTCATGACATACCCTAGGTTCTAGATTCCGGTATTGCCAGCTCAATCTTGATTTTATATATAACCCAAAGCGACTCCACCTCGAGGTATATTTAGCAAGCTAGCTTTTACGTTGCTCTGACACTCAGGGTACATGACACAGTGTCACATTACAACCTCTCTGAATCTCAACTTTAAGTAAGGAAGTTAATACCCCTGTTCTTAATTGAAGTGAAGTTTGATCCAGTGAAAGCAAAATGAAAACAAGGAGACAAACGCGTTGAAACAGGAATGTGATTAAATTAAAAAAAAAAAAAAAAAAAAAAAAAACGTACAGCTCATTTCAAAAATATTCTTTCTGAACTAGTTGTATTCCTCTTTAAAGATTTTTTTTTACAACAGGACTTCTATGGTTAAAATGCTAAATTCTTTTTTCATAAATTTCTCTTTTTTATTACATCAATAAATAAATGAAAAGAAATGGTTGGCTTCAAGTTTTTTATATAGTGTTATATAGTTAGAACTCCAGTTTAGTGGTATTAACAAACTACTGGAGCAATTTTAAAGTTACTAATACAAAAGTAAGCCAATGTCATGCTTGCACCATGCTTTCTGTTTATGAATGCAATATATGAAAACATTTGAAAACATTTGACAAAACACTGAAATATAAATTGTCTTTAGTATCTCAATGGATGTTATAATAAAAATCCACTTCTGAAAACAAATCATTCCACATTCTTAGCTAAATTTTAATTTTTTTCTTTCTTATTTTGAAGGAGACTCAGCGTCTTATGCAAGAACCTGTCCCAGGGATAAAAGCGGAACCAGATGAGGGCAATGCTAGGTATTTCCATGTGGTAGTTGCAGGGCCTGATGGGGTAAGGAGAATGTGTTTGGTGTGCTGTGTTAGGAATGTGTTGGGTGTGACTGTGTTTAGGAATGTGTTGGGTGTGACTGTGTGTTCACAGATGGACCTGCTGCTGTTAAAACATTGCATCAGTTACCATAGTTTTAGAAGTTGGGGTTGTAGTAGCCTGGGAAGATCTTATACTCAGTCCCATGTGTGTTATATCCTGACTTCTGTTTGCACATTTATATTTTGACCCCTGAATACTTTCTTATCACAAAATTTATTACCATTTAAGAGTTTTGTCACAAAATTATTAAATTTTGATTTATTTTGATTTACAAACAGAATGTATTACCAAGAATGTTCAACCAAAATAGCCAAAATTGAGAGAAGACCACAAAAGTTAATTTTAAACTATAAATATGATCCAGTTAGAGTTTGCGTGTGTGCTGTCTGCTTGCATTGAATGCAGAGTGTCTGTTTATATCAACTATTATTGCCTTCTGTGATCTTTGTCATTTGAGCATGTATAGCATAAGCTAGAATTTGTATTGCAGAGCTTTTTTTTTTTTTTTTTTTTTTTTTGCATTTCGATTAAATGCCAATTAAACAATGTTGAATGAAATTTCTGTGTTATTATTAAACCTTAAGAAGTTTACAGATACGAAAAATGAAACTTTCATATGAGAATAAATCCAATTTAGGGCACATTTTTTAGGGTAGAATTTGGCCATTTTGGTTGAACATTCTTGGTTTTACATTTTTGCTATTAATGAATGTTAACACAATCTCTCTTCTTACCTACCCTCTAGTCTCCATATGAAGGTGGTACTTTCAAACTGGAACTGTTTTTGCCTGAAGAATATCCAATGTCAGCACCCAAAGTACGCTTTATGACAAAGATTTATCATCCTAATATTGATAAGCTCGGCAGAATCTGTCTAGACATATTGAAAGGTAAGGTTTCATCACCAGATGTCACTGTAAGATAAACCACTTACTTGGCCTTTAGATGTAAAACTTGTGGAAATTGAAAATTAACTAAAATACTGTAAGAAGCAAAAATAAATAAAATTTTCAGCATACAATAGCAAAAATTGGTTATCAAGTTGTTGCATATTATACAAAATGTTGCCACTGGGATTTTCTTATTTTTTCAGTAGTTATATTATTTTTATGGAATGAAGCTCTACAATAATATATAATAAATATTTCAGATAGTGAAAATGTTATTTGCATTATTCATTTTCTCATCAAATTTTCTATAATCTTCTTCAGACAAATGGAGTCCTGCTTTGCAGATCCGCACAGTTTTGCTCTCAATTCAAGCTTTATTAAGTGCTCCTAATCCAGATGATCCTCTAGCCAATGATGTAGCAGAACAATGGAAAGTTAATGAAGCAGAAGCTATAGCAACAGGTATGGTAATGACCCATAGGTTCACCGGGTGTTCAGTGAGGTGTTGGTGAACTACACAAGCAGAAGCAGGGCTAGATTTCACAGTCAATTTGGCAATTGCTGATGAGTGGTGTCTCTGACTTGTACATGCCGAAAATGGTTCAAACTCATTTATACGTGTTTGTATGCAAATTACAACACTTCCCTATCTTCTTGACATCTACTGTGGTTTAAATGATAGTTTACTTTCATTCATTGCAAACTCTAGCATGGAAGTGAATGGATTGTGATTTTTTTCTAGTATGATTTTTTCTATGGTTTTTGGCATCAGGTGTTTTTATTTAGGAGGCTTTATCAAGCAGCTCTTACCCTAGTCTGATAACTACATTCAGCCATTAAATTGGAAAATTCTTTTTGAGTTAAAAATTACTGTGACCAAAGACACCAATCAAATATTATTCCCATAAAAAAAGGTTATTTTTTTATTGGAATTGGTTAGGCTATGTGTGTTTATCTGTAAATTAGTGGATCATATAATATCTAAAAAATTTCTTTTGATCATAAATTTTGATGGAATTTTCATAAAAGTAGATCTAAGTGAAAGAAGTGATTACCATTTCAGCTAAATGTAGGTCTAATATTAAAAAAAAATTATCGTTTTCAGCCCGTAGTTGGACAAAGTCATATGCAGTCCCAAACAGCAGTAAATGATGCGGAAAGAGAATCAAAAGAAGACCAGCCAGGATGGCAGGAAGACCACGTCTACTTAAACTATGGACAATATAATAATCTGAAGGGGAAAAAAAACAATAAGATTGAAAGCTTGAACCCCATGTTGGCTGGTGTGCTTGTTCTTATTATGACTTTATCGTGGAAGACGGAACACTTCCATGCCATCATGTAGCATCATTTCATTACGTCATTCGAAAATAAAAAAGAGATGTCTGCACATGGGGGGGGAGAACATACCAAGAACGATGGGAGGGAGGACTTTCAACTTTGATTTTTACCGCAATGGTCATGACACCTTGCCTGGAAATGAGCGTTTCACAGGGACATATAGATATTCCCAATTGACGGTAATTTGCTGCTTTATGGCAGTGGATAAGAACTGGCTTTTTAAAAAATAATATTAATCGGCGTGTATGGAATATAGGGTCAGCATTCGGAGTGCTGCGCATCAAATTTGATATGAGATCTGCCATACTGTATCTATCCATAAATGTTTTTTCGTCAGATTATGTTATTTTCTCCACTTGTCCCCTCTTTCTCCTTTCATTAAGCACCAAGTGGATTTTTTATTTTTTATTTTATTATTATTATTTTTTTTAAATTCATTTGACTGGTACTGCAGGCCTGTGGTAAGCGGACAGTGGGGAAGATAATTCTTTACATGAAGATTTTTCTCAACGTTCATTGTATTCACTGTGAACTGCTGTTAACAGGTACATCAGATCAAGATTGTGCGCTATAATTGTGACAGAACTAACATTTCCCTTAACTCCTTTTTTTTCTGACAAGCTCAGGTTGGTAAGCAGAGTTTTGTTATTTGTTATTGTCAAGTTTTTTCCCCTCTTTATGATGCATTGTGAGATGAATTCTTTTCAATGCATTCATTGGTCAGCACTTTATTATCAAATAATATATTTTAGGTGTCGCTTCGAAGAAAATGTCATGGTAACTGAGTGTATAACACAACTGTTGAATCTATTTAATGGGTAAACAATCTCTTATGAAAGTAAATGAAAGACTTGCTTGGAATTTGCCACTTTTCTAATGCAGTTATCTAGTCAAACCAAGCAGGGATTGTTATGAGGTATAAGATTAAGAGATCACAGTGTAACTTCAGGATTAAGTTTTCCTACTCAGTTGGAAGTATTGTGCTTAAAGTAAAATGTTTTCTGTAAGCGACCACATTTTAAAAATCTTTGTTATAAGTATTGTTAGTCTCTAAGATTCCTCATAATATATATGTAGTGTTTATGAAATTACTATAGATTGAGCCACAGTAGTTGAGTAGCCTGTAAAGGGCATCACCTGCTGTTGTCTGCTTTTGAGATGTGTGTTCTGTCACCATTATACATTCAACACCAAACTGGATTTTTGGTGGTCATTTTTCTATATAGTTGTATGCACAATGGTTGGAAAAAAAGTATTAATTTATTTTCTTTGAATTTTTCCCAGTTAAACAGTATGAGCTGACACCTTTTTATTGTAGAGTCTTAGAAGTGTACACAAGACCTGTATAAAAAAGTGTACATATAGGTTGTCTGCTCAAGAACTTAGAACCCCTTTGATTCTAAAAGTTGTCGCCAGGTGACCAATGGCGCTCAGCCATTTGAACCCTTGATTAATAAATTTGGTCATTTTAAGGCATGTTTTAGAAACAAATGGATTTTAATTAAAATACCTGTTGGAGCATACCCAATTTAATCAAACTTTTTTGCAGTTAATCTTTGCCTAGATCTCTCCTCCACTACCCCAACTCTCCAAGCATCATTCTTCATCAAGAAGTATTTATTTGTTGGGGAAAGTGCACATTAGTTGTCATTCTACTTCTCTGATAAATAATAATGTTTTGTCTAATGTAAAAATTGTTCGTTTTACTTTGACAGATAATACTGCTAAGTATAATGAATGCTTATAAAATACATAGCTTAGGTAGATACGAAAAAAAAAAGAAATTCTTGAATTTCAGTAAAATCTTCTGACTATAGAAAAAGAGTTGTTCTCTACATGGAAAATATTCTTCTGAATGGTTAATTTAATAAGGCCAACCACCAAAGATTATATATATCAGTTGGCTCTGTTGTAGAACATCATTAAATTCCACATACAATTTTAAACAAGAAAGTATCCCATCTACAAAACAAAACAAAACCACAGTTGACATGGGGCAGTTTTATTTCTTCTTTCTTTTCCAATATGATTAAGCAGCAATACATGTGAAGGGATAGAGTAAAACCTATAAATAGACAATAATAGCAATAGAGACCACCACCATTATATTTATTATATTTTACTTCATCTCACCAAAGCAACTTTCGTCTTTTAAGATAATCATTATGACATTAGTTTATCATACTGACAGCAACTTTTGTAGTAAAACTTAAGTCTAAGTCTAATATGTCAATATAATAAAAATTTATTGCGTTACTGAAAAGAGTCCGGTAGCTTCTCAAAATATATTAATTGTTGTTGGTTTCCTCTAAATGGGTACGTAAACCCCCTAAAAAGCACTCTTATAAGCCCTTACAATAAACAGCTTTGTCAAGGACAGAAAAAAAAGGTTTTATTTTCCCTAAGTAAGAATGCAGATAGATTTGCATGGCACCAAATAATATGCGACAGTTAAAATCATAAAGAAAATCAGTGAAAATGCTGTTACAATGTATATGCGAGATTAATGTTTAAGTTTCACTACTCTGCAACTATATTGAAGATACTGGATATAGGTAAAAGCCTAAACTTATATATACTAGCTGATTTCTTCCTCACAGCCTGTTTCATCTGGTGAGAAAATTTTAACTCATGAAATTTTCATTGTAAGCTCTTCTATTAGCCATCTGTATCAGCGAGAACCCAGGACTCCTCAGCTTTTCCAATGTTCAAGTTTGAAATACATAAGGGTTTTCCATGAGTATAAAAATTCTTTAAAAAGCCAAGCAATACAAGTTACAACTCATAATAAATGCATAACATCATGCTGCCAGTAAGGGAACATTATGTCCAGCTAGTATAACGTCCTTGTCTTGGTTAATAATAATAATTGCAAAAAGTTAAAAATAATATATATAAATAAAATAAATAAATGTTATTACTGGTTATTATGCAGAAAATAAGTTTTGCATCTCCTCTAGTATTGCAAAATAACTGCCCATGTCTCGTCTTGTCAGACGTCTTGTCTTGGCGGACCAGTGGTGCCCTCAAGCGGCTGTCACGGTTTCCTGTGCCTCCTCCCACTGACAGTCAGGACGCGTGCAGTGACGAGCCTCCTTGGCGGCAAAATCCCCTGGGCGATTACAGAACTCGCAGGTGCTAGGGCATGGGCTACTAGTGAACTCCATTCCACTCTCTTCCCAGGCATCTACCACGGCCTTGACGAAGTACTCCATCATGTCTTCCGTGTGGTGGGGGGTGGGGGCGATACGGAGCTTCTCCTCACCCCTTGGAACGGTGGGATAGTTGATCCCTTGAACGTAGATCTTGTGTTTCTTTAGGAGGGTGTTAGCCACCTGCGTTACTGCCTGTGCATCTCCCACCTGATAACCAAAAGTATCACATATAATCTATCTATGCCATTTGGAGTAAACCGTTCGGTAAAACTGCATCACTTACCAGTGACAATTAGTATTTGAAAAGCCACTAAGGTGAATACTTTTTGTAGGGATAAGAAAATATTCTTTTCAAGAAATAAGGTCAATTTGGATCCTACAGACAAATGGCTTTATCATTTTTACTAATTGCAGAAAAAAAAAATCAGGCAGCAGTGACCTACATCACCATGATAAAAGTTCAACACCTGAAGTAAGTCAATTTGATGACCCAGCAGTGCAAAAAGAAAAAGTAAACTATCAAAAGCCATAAATGTTACTCAATACAGGTCTTAAATTATCTAAATACGGTAGAACAGACTGGGGCAAGAGAGAGAGAGAGAGAGAGAGAGCAATGCACTCACATGTATAGGGATGATGTGACTGGGACAGTGTATAACAGGCAATCCTGCCTCAGTCAGCTTCTTACGCAAGTGTCTCACATTCTCTTGGTGGGTTTGGCGCAGCTTTCGGCCCTCATCACTTTTCAACACCTTAATTGAGACAAAAAGTTACTCCAATGTTTGGACCAAAGTAATATTTTCAAAAAAGTTCCATTCCTGCTTAATTAAAAATTTTGAATGAATACATTTGATTTACTGACCCTTTCGTACACAACTACAAATGCACACACACACATACATAGTTCTTACCCTAATTGAAGCCAGTGCCCCAGACAACACAGTGGGAGGCAGGGAGGTGGTAAAGATGAACCCAGAGGCATAGCTCCGTATCATGTCTACCAGGCGGGAGGAGCTGGCTATATAACCTCCTATATTGCCAAATGCCTTGCCTGGAAACAAAGAAAATTCATTTAAGAAAAGTATCAATTTGCAGGAGAATCAGGTAAAAATAGATAATTCAGGTACCACATGACAATTTCAAAACCCACTGAACCTACAAGATGGCCGTGACTTTTTTCCTCAAAAAAGTACCTTAAACCAACATCATGAGATAAAATATATTGAGTATCCATGATGACTACCAGAACAGCACTTATTCAGGTTTTAAGGAGGGACAACAGATGGCAGCACTATCCAGGAGTTAATTCTAGTTTAGATTATAGGGGGCAGCACTTACCCAGAGTGCCAGAGATGATATCCATCTTGTGCAACAGTTGGTCCCGTTCTCCCACTCCAGCACCACGATCACCATATAAACCAACAGCATGAACCTCGTCCACAAACGTGATGGCACCATACTTGTGTGCCACGTCACAGAGTTCTTCTAAGGGACACACGGCACCTGGAGGCAAATGATAAAAGGATGAAAAACAAAAATATTAAGAAATCATTTTGATGATATGCAGATTAGAGTATTTAACACAACTTAACTTTTATACTTTATACTATTTTGACATTTTCATACTACTGTGGTCCCTGGACAATATTGTCCAACTACAAGAATGTCAATCAAGTAAAACATGAACCATTAAATCACGATCTAATAAACAACTACAGCAGATTGTTTGCCTTGTTTGCCATAAATTGCAAATTTGAACCAGATGAGTTTAAACCAGTTTTAATAACATTATGGCAAAATCTATGCCAATTGCCCTTCTCTTACCTGTCATGGAATGAACCGTTTCAAATGCCACAATCTTTGGGGTGTTGACATCCACTTTCTTCAACAGTTCCTCCAGATGAACTGGGTCGTTATGGCGGAAGATATGCTTGGGGACCCCACTGTTCCGGATACCTTGTATCATGGAAGCATGGTTCCCAGCATCAGAGAAGATGTGACAGCCTGAAGAGAGAGGAGATGATTTTATAATAAAAATTTTAATGTGTGTGTGTGTGTGTGTGTGTGTGTGTGTGTACGTACGTGGCTGTGCATTGTACATGCATTGTTGAAACTGAAATATGGCAGCAGGGATGAAAATGTAAATGCATAAAACAATCTAAAAATAATCACTTCCCTGAAATTTTCTGTTTTGAACATACATTTGTATTTACAACAAATCCATCAATCTTAGCAAAGCCTTCACAGTAATCTTTTAACAGCTGCAAATCTCAGCATAGTCATATCCACATACCTGGAAGAGCCTTAGCAAGGGTGAACAGTGTAGAGTCATTGGCCACATAACAGGAAGTGAAGAGCAGAGCGCCCTCTTTCTGATGCAGATCCGCCAACTCAGCCTCCAGTTCTTCGTGGTAGATAGTGTTACCGGAGATATTTCTCGTCCCTCCAGCTCCCGCCCCATGTTCCCTGACTGCATTGCTGTAGAGGGAAATAACAGTAACCGTTACGGTAAACACAAGACATTGACAGGATGACAACTTGACTGTGTTGTAGACTACGTATAAATTGGGAAATTCTGACACCAGAAAAAATGGTTTCAGTTAAGGAAAGATGCAAGTTCGGCAATATGCATGATTTTTAGTCAATAACAAAGAAAAAACCTGTTCTACAAAAACAAGTTTCAGACAAATGGTAAAACAAGTTTTCAAGACCAGATATCTGGAGTGCACAGTATAAAATCATGTTTTTCTAGATCATAAGAAATATCATGTTAAACTTTTTCCAGTATATGTTTTTCCTGGGGAGAGAGGTGGGTTTGGGGAAGATGTCAGGGCAAAACCAGTGCTTCCAGTAGATACATCCCTAATCAACTTACACAACAGCCTGTTTGACCTTGGGGTGCCAGCTCATTCCCAGGTAGTCATTACTACACCACACAGTGATGTCCTTCTTCCCCTCTGTGTGCTCCTCCGCAAACGGAAACTTCTCGGCACGCCGGTTGACCTTGCGGAAAACACGGTACGAGTGATCAGTCTTCTTCTTTTCTATCTCATTCTGGAAGAACTGCTCATAGTTGAAGTACTTGAATGGCTCTGCATGACCACCTGAAATTTTAATGACATTTCACTATGATTAATTTGATAAAAACAGTTTAAAGAAGTGTTCTAATGCTTAAAATAGTGATGAAAAATTTCCGCCAAATTGGCAGACTTCAGACTTAAGTAATTACTCAATCTTTTCAATGAGCGACAATTGTGAATTTTATAGAAACTATTTTTTAAGTCATAATTTCTTAAAATTAGACCATTCCTCAGTGATAGTAACAAAATTAAAAAGCAAGTTACTCTATAGTTCTACTCTATGCAGTAAAAGCACCACAGTAATAAAATTTATGTGATTATAAAATTGTATCTGAAAGTTTGATAATTGTTGCCCAATGAAAAGATCGAGCAAATACCACAAATCAAGCTCAGCCCCATTGTCCATGTACCCAGTATACTCACCTCTACTTGCTGATGTAGAGTTGACATTTAAGGTTTCTTCCTTCTTCTGTCCAGCTTGGTTGTCCAGAGATTGACTGGTCACCTTGGTGGCTATGTCCACTTTAGCAGCAGACTCGACAGACCCTGAAATGGACACAGAATAAGACAATCAGCACACAGAAAAATCTTTATAGATTTGCTTCCCTCATACACGTATATGTACAGTTTAAATTTTCTTTGAAAAAAATTTAATAAGATTAAAAAAACATACCAATATATATAACCAGTTTCAACTTTTAATTCTTTAAAGTTTGACATTTCTTATAATGTTGTAGCATTGTAGCAGTTTGCACCATTTAACTACCTGTACTGCACAATCATCATCTCATTAGAATTACTATATATTTTGGAAATGAAATTTTCAAAACAGGCCAAAAATTAGAATAAAAACAGGACTTCATAAACAGAAGCCCCATGTTAAGAGTATTCTCCTTTGAGTAGAAATGAAGCAAGCACAAGTGAAATTTCATAATCAATAATACGTTAGTTTATATATTAGTTCATATTATCCCTGTTACCTGACTCCCTCACTGGGTTAGTCTCTTCAACTGAAGGTACCATATTCATATTATCCAGCTTAGTCTCCTCCTCTGCCTCATGCACAGGTGGAAAGTCTGCATGCGAAACAGAAGTATAAATGTTCCCAAAACCAAAAGAATTAGTGTATTTATTGTCAGTCTTACCCCTCAAACAATGACACTGGAATTGTTTTCAATGGTTAGGGTAGTTTTGCAACCATGATAGCAATTGTTATGATATTTGAGAGGAAAATGGTACAGATAAATACTAGCTACAAAATAAATAAATAAATAAAATAAATCCCATCACCTTTGTAATTGAGATTAATTGTTTGACTTTTGATTGGTTTCCTATGGTTTTACTAACCACAAATCCACAATCATTTGATGACCTCATCAAATGTTTTTTTTTTTTTTGTACAATGAGGGTCTGAGTTAGTCAAGCAGTCAATCTGTCTTTAGTCTTTAGACAGTTTAATTGTAAAGTTTGTAAGTTACTATGAGATAAGTAAATAAGCTACCAAGAACTTGCCACCAAGATATAGGTTATTTCATTTTCATATTTTTAATTGCTTGAGAAAAAAAATTTCAACTGAAAATATTTGTTTTTAAGATGGTGGAACTAACCCTGGGTGATGGCAGCAGCAGCTGAGGTACTCTGCTTTCTCTTGGCCTCACTACTCAGATAGGGGCACTTGTTCAAGTTTGTGGGCTCTGGAAAAAAACAATAACATAAAATCCCATTAATGGACTCTTTGCTTAATTAGCAAACCAGGTTCATATCAAAGCTTATTCATATCTCTCTGCATTTAAGTAAACCTGATTATATTTTACTTCCCAAAACTTTAATTAAATTTAACTAAAAACTTTGAAAAAACTTTTTTTCATAAAGGTGTGAAAAAAATTTTTATAACTACCATAGCTAAGCCACCCTCTACCATTTTTTCACAGTTTATAGACTAGGCAATGATATGTCTTATGGCAATATCCTGATGACTTATTTGAATATCTCTTATAACTAACGATACTTCACTTCAAGTTTACAAGTTTTCAGAAGTTATTTGAATCTAAATATTGTAAACACTAACTATAAACATGATTTCTAAACTTCTTAATCAAACTGTACAAAACCGTAATTTAAATCTATTTCAACTTCATTCTGTTACAGGTTTGAAATCCTGTCCAATACTACCAGCAGCTTCAAAAAAGTAGTGCAATAACTCACCACTAGGGGGAGTCCCGGCCCTGGTTGCCATGGAAGCAAACTTGATGACGTGCCCCATAATTGGGCAATTTTCAGCATAAGAGAGAACTGCTGGTGCGTACTGGCGTAAATGATTTGTAGGTATGCGGGTCAAAAATGGACACTTCAATGCCTTCATGGTTGCAACTGCAATGAAAGAGAGAAAATGAAAATAGCAAATTTGACTTGAATAAATGCAAAATTTGCCACTCTTGGTAATGAAAACTTTACATGTTTCCATGAAATCAAATTATCTGTACTGCTTAAAGCAATTTCATTTGGACACAGAGACAAAAATAATTCTACGGAAGGTGAAAATGTGCCACGCCCAAAAATTTCATCGCATTAAATTTTTTTTTTCTGATTTAGCATGGATCAGATCAGTCATGAATTCTAATTTCATTTTGATAAAATTTTTGTCCCAAAAAGAGCTTTATAATGACCACACCAAACCACTTTCTTGTATTATACTGTTACTTCATGAGATCATTTTTTACCAATATGAAAAAGGCCAGTTATAATTCAGGTTTTGTTTTCTGTTGCATGTGTGTTTCATATCAATATTAATAAGACAAGCTACCAATGTATACCAAAAGCTCATTAAATCTGAAATACAACTAACATTTGTGAACAGCTTTGCGTGTGAAGTGGATGCAATAGGACTATGAAATTTAATGACTTCATTGGCATTCAAACTGCATTTTTGAACTTGTTAGTGGGATATCTCAAGTTTTTGAATAAACAGTTTAGAATTTCATTTCAATTATTAAAACAGGAAACAAAACTGGTTTATTTGTTTCCTCTGATTTACAAACACAAAATGATCTTTGTTAATTTTTTTGTTAGAAACACAAGTGGAATTTCTTGTGATTCAACTTGAGATGAAACAGCATGTGGAAAAGATTACATTTCTTGTAGCACAGGTATTATGCTTATCAAACTTAAGAAGATCATGTCTATTCTGTATATTTTAGGCCATCCAAGCTTATTATTATTATTTATTTTATTTTTAAAAAATTTATCAACCTATTTTGTGAATTCCTTCAGGGGTAAAAAGTGGACATTATTTTATACACAAATAATGGAGCCCATAACATTAATTTTCAGCTGACTGTACCATTCCTTGGCCTTGTCAATTTCTAGATAAGGTAAGGTTTGTAACTACTGTAAGCATATTTTTTCTTTCTCAAAAAAAATATTTTTCTTTCACCAATACAATCAGCTGGCAAAAAGCAATCAAATGTCTAGAATTTTAAGCCAATGCACCGTCTTTGGCCCTTAGTGGAAAAAATGTTATTTCAAGTCTTAGATTAACAGCCGGGCATGCAAAGCAATCCTCTTTCCTGATCATTTCAAAGCCTACGCACTACCTTACTTAATCCCAGATCAAGTCTAGAATAAACTTCATGTGTAAATATCACACTGAAAGCTACTTACCAGATGAACGATGATTTGCACAAAGTCTTCAATCTTTCAACAATCTGAATCAGAGATAACGAATGTCCTGGCAGCAGCGTGTGTGAACTCGCAGCTTCTACACCTGGAATGAAAATGACACGCCCACTTACAGGATTTATCCACACACTCGTATTTATACTGACTGTATTTAGTACACCTGCATGACAAGTTATCGACAATGGCAGATGACCACTTACACAATATCCACTGCCCCGTCGTGATGGAAGGTCACCCTGATGAAAGGGGCCTGTTGTTCCATTTTGACAATTCTAAAACCCAGGGATGAGACTGAGAACGTTGGAAAATATGGCGTGAGGTCCAGGGGACTGCCTAGGCCAATGATATTTTTACCCCCAAAAAAGTTGGAAATCTGCTGACAGTCGGAAAAATCTCATTCCTGAACACCCTGTCCAATAACAATACCTTGTCCTATAACTATATCACGACATTCGCCTCCTTGATTCAGTAATTCAGGATCTGCTAATTCTGAGCTCTTTTCTTCGTTCTTCTATTAAAATGTGGCAATGAACATGTGCCAGTTGAAATGTAATCATCAACCACTCTGATACTCAGGGTGATGGGTTACTACAAATTAAAGAGGGTGAAGTGAGAGTTGAGAGAAAATGGAATTATTAAACTTTTTCCTTTTCAAGATCAAATATGTGAAGGCAATGATAATCAAATACTATTTTTTAAAGCCAAAACGAACTCTCTCTCTCATTTGGGAGAAAAAAAAATTGTGTACAACGAGTCTTGTAAAATAAAATTTTTAAATATTTTTAAATAAAAAAAAAGTTTAAATTTATAAAACAATCCATACAAGAACCAGGATTTCTTCAGTATTGTGAACAATATGGCAAGCTATTCTCTTAATCACAGAGCCCTTCAAATAGGAAGGGGGACCTCTTATATACAGGGTGTGACTTTTTATGATCCTAACCGGATACAGACACACCACCATCATGTCTGCAACACAAACAACATAAAAGAACAGCAGAAAAGAATCAAATGAACAAATGTGTTGTATAGCATGAAAATTACCTTGCTGAACAAAAACCACAACCAATTCTAATACAAAAATGTGATTTTCCCTCATGAAATTTAGTTGCTGTTCATAATTTAGCAATTGTCAATTCATGTCAGTCTGTTATTTACCTCAGGCAACAGGATACCTTGTTTCGTGAGACAATAACTACACAATTAAAAACCATTCACAGTAAGTCTGGATCTACTGATTATGATCAGCCTATATATCATAGTACCATCATGTTGTTATCATCATACGTGGCCTGGCTCGACCCCTGACAGGATGCAATATCATTTAAATGTATCATCTCTGTGTCCAAGGGCACAGTTTCACTGAACCTTCTACTGGCCGCATTTTCAGTGAACTTATAACTCCTTAGCTCAGAAAGTTCTAACCACACATTCACAACAGACAGCTAGAGCAGGGGCTGATTGAGGCAGTCTTCTGAGTCTTCCGGAAGACGGTCAGATTTTCAAGTTTACATTTACGGTTATCTAATTTTTTCTGTCGGAAGACGGTCAAAAATGGAAGATGGATCAACAAAGCTAATTTGGAAGACTGTCAGAAAATAGCTCTGGATCCGCCCCTGTAGAGGATACATACTATTACACAATATTACAAATTTCAATTTCTGTGCTTGTTATTTACCCTTTACCATGTCCACAGGGAGATTCTTTAAAACTAGATGTTCACAGATATATCTATGGCCTCTCTGTGCACATTTCTCTACTGGGCTAGCATGGAAATTATGCCTTCACTCAGCTGCTTTCTGGAAAGGAGGCTTTGCTATCTTGTTGGCTGATAAATTTTGAATTTCTCCTGCATCCAAATCTATCATGAGAATCAGACCCATAGCCAGCTTTTATAAAGTGTGTGTGTGTGTGTGTGTGTGTGTGTATGTGTATGTGTATGTGTGTGTGTGGTGGGGGGGGGGGGGGGAGGGGGTCTTTTTCTGTAAACTTGGACCTTTACCGTGAAACCTTAATTAATGTACCTAGATAAAATTTTACCCAGAAGAAATGTTTCCCTGACTAAGAGGCCTGTGAATTAAAAGATGTCCTAAGTGCACCAGGGTTACTGCAAGCATGTGGCTTTCCAGTTCACAGATGTCCTTAAATGACGTATTACTTAATCTCTCCAAGTTCATTTGTGGTTCAGTAATCACACATTTTTCACACCAACAACAGATGTCCATAACAACATCAGAGGCCATCAACTCCCTTTACTACAAACCATAACTGAATTATGATTTTTTCTCTCTTAATTATTTGACTACAGCACTCAATGATTTATTGTGCATCTGGAATCTCATTTTAAATCAATATGAATATGGTTATTTCTATAAATCACAGAGAAAAATAGAACACTTTAAAAGGATATATACATGTGCTACTTGTAAACTTGTCATGGGTTATTTTAGTACTGTAAGCTCTTTTCAGTTTGTTTCACATAAAAATTGTGGCTTTCTTACGTGGCATCATTTTTTGCATATCATTGTGACTTATCAGAAGTCTATAGCAAAAATTAAAATGCTGCACTCATCCTTCCTTTAAACTTCCAGCATTACCAGTCACCCATTAAAAATAAAAGTCATTCAAAATTGCATTTTACAGATTGGTATGCAGAACAGATTAGGGTCCTACTGTGTTATTCAAATACACTTTCTGACTGATAATGATTTGGGCCAGTAGAACTTTTAAAAGAACCTGGAGGCTTCAAAGGGCGCCATTGGCTAAAAAGCTTCTGGCATGCCATTATCGTGCCTATAGTGGAAAAGGAATGGGGGCAACATACTACTTATTAAACAAAACATGCTCCATGATGTACATAGAAGGAAACGTGACTGCTGCTTCATCATTTTATTTGGGTGGAGAAAATTATCTCTTGCACTTTGTATTCTGATTGTTCATTAAATTGGTTAAAAAGAACCTGGATACTCACCATATTAAAGCAATTAAAAGTTTTAACATCACAACTTAGGAATTAACTAGGTTCTTATACTCAATAAAATACAAATCCAGACGCATTTGTGTCTGCAATCTAAGACATACTTCTATAAAGATGCCAAAATGTCTTATCAATGATTGCCATTATTGAAATGCTATTGCACTGCAGACCAACTGAGCAATGTTGAAACACAGTGATTAAAATGCAAACAACACTTGTTTACATTCTAAGCTAGAAAACAATATGCAACCTAGCTTAAGTGTTAACAAAATTAATAAAATTGCTTAGAGAGCAATTAACCTACTGTACTAGCATAATTGAAAAATTATAAAACCCAAATTAATACAAAAAATAATAGAGTCACAAATACAAGCCATTCGATATACAAAATGTCATGTCTCAATTTTTTTCACAAGAACTCGGAATCTGTATACTACTCATCACAATCTTTTCGCAAGTTAATTAATAAATTAATTAATAAATAAATAAAATAGAACAAATAATTACATAAGTTCAGACATGGTGGTAAATGTATTCAAATAGCGATCAAATATTTACAAAATTCTCTTAACAAAACTGACACGTTTGACATTCCCTGTGTGTGCTCTTCTTAACATAATCGTACGTAAAATGATCAATCATGATCACAAAACGGCCTAAACTATATTGGGTATATAACGTTATAAGTTATATAAATCAGCCGGCTGTTTCGCAACAGCAAATTTTAAAGGTAGTAGATCTACCGGTATCAACGAAAAACTGTTAAAAGACTAGAGTTGACATACCTACCACTGGAGACGGGCACTTCAGATAAAACCTAGACGGAGCGTCAGCGGTATTTATATGAATGACATCCGTGTAAAAGTGTCCTATTTTATAACCTCTGTGCTTTGACCCAAGAGAAGGATCGGGAAATCGCAACAGATTTATCAATGAAAACAAATACTATTTGCCTTTGTCAAGTTAAAAAAGCAGGAGCGATGCGTTAAGGTAACTGTCAAGCTCAACCTTTCACTGGATATATTAATAAAATGATCGAAATTATACTACAAGCGGAAAATACATGTTACCTCACCTTCTATCAGCAAGGATCGCTCAGGTCATATGCTAATATACAGGATGTGACGTCACAAGACCTTTCATACGACGTAATCTCCGAATAAAAGTAGAAATAAACATTAATACGAGTATGCAGTTCATTGTGGATGTAATTTTAGTTTTGTTACTTATGTTGCAAACAATATTTATTTTATACTAGCCTCCCTATATGTTTTGCTTGTCAGTTTAGACCAGTAAGTGTGTTCGAGAGTATTTATCCTTTGAACGAGAATGAATTATGCTAGTACGCACGCGCAAGACATCAACTTCAAATGAGATGTGAAGTCGTGACATGCCAAAAAAAAAAAAAAAAAAAAAAAAATACAAAAATACAAAAATACAAAATTTAAGTAACAAATGCAATATGATACTCAACTTAACAGCTGTTCAGTGAACGATAATTAAATGAAGAAATAATCAAGTATCTATTTTTCTACAGTTGATTTCAGTACAAAATCATTTACAAAAATTTATGAAATAAAAGATGTTCAAGCAAGACAAGTTCTGATCTCTTGAAGAAGCTTTCATGCAAATGTGGGGAAATATTTTGTTTTATGATCAACAACAAGTTTAACATTATTTAATATACACAATTTATTACACTTGCAACTTGTATATATGTACATACATAATTCTCATATAAATGCAGTGATCAGAAATACACATACAAATGCTCAGTATTTTAAAGAAAAATAAAAAATTTACAATAAAATAAGAATATACATAGAATATTTTCAAAACACAAAGCAATAAAAAAGGTTATATTATGTGGATATACATGTACTGGTACTCTGTATTTTCCGTTGTATTATGCCCATATATGCTAGTGCATGTACAGTACAGTAAAAAGTATAAATTGACAAGAGTACAAATATCTCTTAAATCATTGGACATTATTATATGCATTTTTTTGCAATTATACCAATATCAATGGACATTATTATATGCATTTTTGCAATTATGTCAATATCATTGGACATTATTATATGAATTTTTGCCATTATGCCAATATCATTGGACATTAATATATGCATCTTTTGCAATTCCACCAATAGTGATTCACTCCTAAATATTAATTGCACAGCAAATATTTTAATCATGTTGGGTATTTGTAAGTCATCTTTTCAAATAACAGCAGTAACTCTAAAATGCATCTTTTTGATACTGCTCCAAACACACCAAACAAAATCCTGGATTATTATTAATAAAAGGATCGGCCATTACTGTAGTCTACTCCCCTCCGATACTTCTCTTTTTTTCAGCTGTAAAGACTAGATTTATGACAAAATCTGAGCACCAATATAAAGGTTTCCTGAGAGATAGATTAGAAATAACTGATCAATATCTTACACAAATTCCATTTTGCTTGGCTTTATGAGTGATGAAGTAACCACTGATAGTGCAAAATGTTTAATGTAGCACATCAATGATTTGCTCCTTTATATATCAAAAACAAAAGCTTGTTAAGAAGAAATATTGAAATTTTACCCTTACGGAAAATATAGCGGAACTTTTTCTTCACTCATATTCATAAACTTTACCCTGTACATAAAATGTAAATCAAGAATAATTTTATGAAGTCCTCCACAACTTTTTTCAAACAGTTTTTGAGGACTTCATACTTCTAGATAATTCATCCAACTCATTGTCTAAGCCCTGCCAAGAGCTGCTTGCACCCCCTCCATCATTGCTCTGGGACAATGGGTTTCTTGATATTACTACAAAAAGTTCAGTGTCAGCAGCAGCAATCAATGGAACAGTGGAGTTGCAGTCAAAGTCTCTGGTCATTGTGGTGGCTACCTGGTAAGAGAGAAAAATGTGTTAGTTGTCATAAAATGTTTTAGTTGTAAAATGTGTCAGGTGGGACAATCAATGGCAGATCAAGGGGAGTAAATTTTTGCCAAGTAAAATGAGGTAGATTTATTTATCTTTGTGCCCTTCCTCCCCAGCTAAACTTACCAGTGACGATGAATTGCTGGTAACTGAGAAATTATATCTAAGTACTCCATGAGGATGTGCTATCACTGCCCAGGGATATTTTAAAATAAGTTGGGAATGACTTGTACCATTTTACACTCCATGATATATTACTTTCCATGGTTTTTATGAGTCATGAATTTCACTGTCTTTGATAAAATATTAATGGCATCTACAACAAGCAACATGAAATTAAATTTTCAACCATTCACTTTAAAAATTTGTGATTATCTGTGAATACCAACTAACAAGTGAATCATATCACATACATTGATGCAATTCAGACTAAGGATGAGAAATAATACTGCCATCTACCTGTAAAATTCTGTCATACATTCTGAGCCCAGCTCTGTCCCCAGGTCCACCAGGCCGCACTGCGCTGACAAACACCCCCTTTTCATACAATCCATCTGACAGGCAGAACCCAAAGTCTTCCCCATGCTCCCTGAAGAGCGTCAGTTTATGAAGTTCAACAGGCGTTGGAGCTACATTGTCTTGGCTGGTCCTGTGATTGCCCTGCCCCCTATCTGCAGATCTGAAGTTCTTAGGAACAACAGAACTATTGTCATATGAGATTAAGGAATTGTTTTTTTGTAAGGATGACAAGTCGGACGGGTCCCTGTTTCGCTCAATGCTGCCAGAGCTGCTGGGAGCTCGGTGGATTTCTTTCAACATCATGGTGTCATCAATTTGCCTCAGTAGATCTGACTGGTTGAAAGTGGTTGAATCTTGAAATGTTCGATCATTATAGCGTTGTCTATGTTTGTTTGCGTAACTGGGATAGTTGTTGTGTTCCCAATCATCCTCAGAAATGTGGAGCTCCTTGTCAGAGTCACACTCGTCAGCATCACTGTCCTTTGTTTGCCTTCTACGACTGCTGTTGTTGGAATTACCTGAAACACCTAATCAGAATATTTAAATCAATATTTGACAAATAATTTTTAAGAAACAGTTAAATTTGTGCATGAAATATATATAACTTGATAGTGAAAAAAATTTGAAGTACATTAAATGTAAAGGTACCGTTTACAATTTGTTTTACTCAATAGGCAAGTTCAATGAGCATGCATTAGGTTAGAAATGTTCATTGTATCTGAATCATTCCCTTTTTTTCTAAATNTAGAAATGATATTAATTGTATTCCTATTGAAAATGTTCTGATATTCTTTCAACACGTAAGGATATTCTACAACTCCACCTATGAAGCAGACCTATATGTATTAATTTCCATCAAATTTCAGTGCAAAATTGTGTGTAAATAGTTTGTTCTGTATTCTCAATGCCACAAAATATATGATAACTTTGAGGAATGCAACACAGTGAGATATATACCTCTTCCCTTTCTGTCTCACTGAATATAAAAGATTTGGAAGGCCAAGTTTTATGAACCCTATCAATGTTAAGAGCACACTGTTCTTTCCATACTCTTCACAAAGACCAAGAATGTACATGTTTGCAAGTTGTCTAAACAGATTGTGTTCTATGGGACTTGCATGTCTTCCGGTACACTCCGTCTTTCACTCTGTGCTCTACCCTTGTCGCCCAGGGTCACTTTGTTCATAGCCATCACAACAGCTGTAGCTGCCTGGAAGATTTAAATCAACAGCAATAAGAACATCAACAACAACAACCATACTGCTGACAGACTAAAATGTGATATAGTTGTATTTAAAAAATTGATACGTGCTATTAAGAAGTAGCTTTCAAGGATGTTTATCATGAATATGTATAAATCCTTTGTGTGTGTGTGTGTGTGTGTGTGTGTGTGTGTGCGTGCATGTATAATTTTTACTTTTACAAACCTGATAATTTCACACATTTCACACAGAATCACTAAACAAACTTGAAACAGAGAAATAAATTGCTTAACTTTGTAACAGGCACCTTTTTACCGCAGTCATACTTCATGGTTAAGTGCAGTTATCTTTCAAAATTAATTACCCTGAGTTTCCTTTTGGCATTGAACTGTTTGAGTTTGCACTGAGCCTCCTCCATGTGCTGGCTCTTACACGCCCCTTTCAACCAGGGGTGCTCCAGAGCTTGGCTAGATGTCAGACGCTCTGCTGGATCAACCTTCAACAGCTGGCGAACCAAATCCTGACAAGTAAAAATTGCTTTGTAAAAGAAAAAATAATTTACCAAAAAAATAATAAAAATGTTCTCTAGGGAAGAAAAGTTTTATTGGTTGGTCTGCAAACCCATGTGATGTGTGTTTCAGGTATAATGTGGTGTCTTTACACATAGACCATGCTCACCTTTGCATTTTCACTGACATCATCCCACCAAGGTGCATCAAACATGTAGTCCCCTTTGATAATCTTTTTATACATCTCCTTCTCATTATCACAATAAAATGGTTCATAGCCACAAAGCCTGTAAAAATATGACTTTGATGAAAAAAGGCATGTACATTTTTCATTATGATCATAATATATTCTTGACTAGTTAACACATACCCTTTATTTTGCTACAATCAAGAAGTTACCATGAAACAAATTAGGACAAAGTATTTACTTGACAGGTGCTTATCCTTTAAGGGATAATAACTCTTCGCTTCAGCCAAAAAATGAATTTTCCTGGAGTAAACAACAATATTCCCATACTTACCAATGGTTAATGAATCCATTTTTACATTCAAACTTAGTCTCTGGTTTTTTTCCAAAAAGTTTGGTTTTGTGTTAAAATCTCTTAAGAGATTTTAACATAGTATAGCCATCAATGGAGGTCACGTGATCTAAAGACAAGCTCAAATACCAGAATAATAGCTATAACTGCCGTTTTTGTGGTAAAACAGAATATATTATATTTCTATGAGTTATTCACAATGTTTTTATTGTGAAATATAGATCTCATACAAAGAGTTATTATCCCTTTAACAATCTTATTATTTTTATCATAACAAATCTGTACACGTTAGTATTTGTTTTCAAATTATATATGCCATGCAAGACAAATGTGTAGGTAAAACACTATCTTGGTAATGAAATAAATAATGCAAGATGAGTCCAGTCATTTTAAAAGCTTGAAAATCATATGTTCTTGGAATTTCTTGCCAATGGTTTATTCTAAAGATGACTCCTTCCAGATTTTGCTTTGTGTTTTGCAATTCATATGTAGATACTTACAGAATATATGTGATGACTCCAACACTCCACATATCAACTGCAGTGCTGTAGGGATTTCCTTGCAACACTTCTGGGGCTGGAATTAAAACAACACAGGTGATTTCCCTGAGGATATATGCACTCTTTTAAATATTTTAAAGAATAAAGCACATTTTTCTAAGAGAACTGAATAAAAACCAGAGCACCTATCAACTGAACACATAGCAAAGAAGATGAAAGACATTATAAAATCTTAAATGCATAAAGGATAAATTACTGATGCAAGATATTCCGTCTTTGATCATATTTCTAAAAGTTTTCTTTTGTCTGCTAATTAGCCATTATGAACCTATGTAAGTGAATTCAAATATTTGTATCTTCTTTTTTAATTAAAATGAAGTTTGACTGTTTCAGCATGACTAGTACAAGTTATGTATTCTCCCTTTTTTTAATACAACCCCCTTGCCTTAAAAAAGATAGGTCATTTTCAAACAAGCACTGGAATTTTTGTCTTGGCTATCTTTGGCCATAGATCTTTCACATTAGATAATCTTACCACAATATCCTGGGGTACCACACACTGTGGACATTTGGATGTTTGATTCACAAATCTTCGACAGGCCAAAATCAGCTGAAAAGTAGCAAAATGTATTTACTTATTATCGAAATATGGTAAGAATTCACACATTTCAATTTCATTTCACTCCTCTAGTAAGCCAATATTATAACAATTCTGAAGTTAAACAATTTTTTTATTTCAGTTTTCCCCTTGAGACTGATATAAAAATAAGAGACAAAAATATAGAAGTACATGAAACTTACCAACTTTTAACAAAGACTCATCAGAGCTGTCTTGATATAATAAATTTTCAGGCTGAAAAATTCCAGAAAACAAATATGAATTTTAACCTAGTTGCAAAAGAACAATATCTGTGTAAACAAATATCAGTTCTTTCTAATAGTTTATAAAATTATCTTCTACCTGGCATTCCAATGAATCTAATCATTCCTTTTTCATTCTCTCTAAAAAGATTGCATTGCTCTTAAGTGCCATTGTTGTGAATTCATTGTTGTCATTTATTTGAACAATATCTAAATATCAAAACATTATTCATTTTGTAAATCAACTTAAATCTACCTTAAGGCCACTAATAGTAAAAAGACCAAAGTCATAGAAACAAAGCCCTGGGCTTATAAGTTTTTATAAAAAATTAAAACAAACTTCTCAAAAGGCCAATTAAAGACGGGGATTAAGTACAGTGTCCAACGGATGACGCTCTGGCGCCAATTTGAGGGGAAAAATGCCGTTTTCGGTATTGGGATTTTCTCTATAACCAAGACAGCTATTCAAGTGATTCAAAAGGCCTCATAAAGCTGGATGAAAGCACTACAGCGGGGTACCAGGGAATTGTCTTAAACTATTTACTTTTGATTTTATCATCTTTTACGTTAAATCAGCCCATATTTCAATGGGTTATTCACTTCAAAAGGCGATAACTTTCAAACAAACAATTTCCTCTTAAACCCCTGATATCATGCTGTAGTCCACATTCCTAACAACAATAGGTGCAACTTTTGTAACGATCGGTTGCTCAGATAGTGAGATATACTTGGCAGCGATTCACTTATCTCGTCAATATAGAAAGCTGTTAAAACAGCCAAAAACGTTCACAGGTTGGTTAACAGGGCTTATTAGTCAAATGCTTAGCTGGCAAATTTACCTGTTATCGGTTATACGATCAGATGGAACCATTGCTTATTGTCATCTAAAAATATTTTGTTTGGGTGCTTTGAAGGGGCAGAAAATCGTGCTTTTGTTACATTTTCCGACCACTCGTTAGGCATGTAAGCGTGCCGCCATTTTGATTGACAGCTCTGGAGAGGGCCCTAGCCTAGTGATGCCCAGTAGGGTGTCAAGGATATGTAGAAGGAAGCGCTAACAAAGGCGATTACGTTTAACCGCAATTAAGAGGTGTGAAGTTGCATTTGAACGTTTCAATGGCTCTTCCTCGGCAATCGAGTAATATTACCCGAGAGATTCCTTCTTTGTTATCGGCAAAGTGATCAGATAAAACTGTGTCGAGAGCAAGTGTCCGTCACTTGTGTTAATACGAGTTTTTTTACAGGTAACGCTGCAGGATTATTTTGCACGACACTTGGTAATCGTCAGATCAACGGAAAAATCCAGTGATTACTTCATAGCAGAATTTCTCAAAATGCCAGCTAAGATAAAGGGGAGACGCTCAGCTGCACAAGATTCAACGGTAAAAGTGGCTGAGAGAAGGCTTTTGAATAAATATTTTATTATTACACACATGACACTTAGACCCTATTTGCTTTTTACCTGCTAGTCTTGACTATTTTCGGGGTCTTTTTGTGATTTTCATTTTTGGATACATTTTGAACTCTTTCTTCCCGCTTGATCAGTGATTTTGAAATTGTTTTTCTCCAAACATCGCAAAATGCAAAGCCGCTAACATGCGTTTTTATTTTTCTTGTTTTAATCATGCTGTCAGCCCTTGCTTGGATTTCTCTCGTTTGGCCATGCACATCACAATTTTTCGCGTCTCTCAAGCTCCATGATATCATATCTTGGAGAATAAATTTTTTTTTGTCAACATTAGATTTACCTTTTGCAAACGGCGACCAACAATCATTTCCGGTTTCGTAACGTGTCGCAGATACGCTCGCCGATATATATCGCAAAGTTAAGAGCTAGGCTAAAAGTATCCTTTTTAGCGTTTTTTTTAAATTTATTTATCGATTTTTCTTTCATTTGTCAATTAATTTAGGCGATTCGATTAACTCTTTCACCCATTTATTAGGTATACAGAAATCAGTTTTCCGACTGAACAAATAGGGCCGGTTTTCCCCAACCGCCACGCATAGGCCCTACTCTCTTTCAAATTTTTCTTTCTTTCCTCTGGAATGGACTTTTAACACGAACTTTTCTCTTCCCCATAGTGTACTAGCTAGACTTCTTCGCTGCTAAGCTGATGTAAGACTTATGACCTATTACCGCACACGTAATCGGCTTATAACTCATTAACTGTGCTCCGACCCCATCATGGCAACGGCCCTTATTAACAGAGGCGTGGCTTAGTTGTCAGCCTGACTGGGGCGCGTGCCGGTTGAAAAACTCATCAAAAGACACATTTTGCGATGCAAATTCATAAAAATTATTACATCCAACGTTAGATACCTTTTTGATTAATATAAACACACAAAAAACTCAAAAACATGATTTTAAGCGTATTTAACCCTATCACCGGCCTTAAAGCTAGATGTTCACAGATTGTTTGTGGGTGGGGGTGGGGGGGGGGGGTCTTTTTCTGTAAACTTGGACCTTTACCGTTACCCAGAAGAAATGTTTCCCTGACTAAGAGGCCTGTGAATTAAAAGATGTCCTTAGTGCACCAGGGTTACTGCAAGCATGTGGCTTTCTAGTTCACAGATGTCCCTAAATGACGTATTACTTAATCTCTTCAAGTTCATTTGTGGTTCAGTAACCACACATTTTTCACACCAACAACAGATGTCCATAACAGCTTCAGAGGCCATACAACTCCCTTTAATACAAACCAGAACTGAATTATGTATTTTTCTCTCTTAATTATTTGACTACAGCACTTAATGATTTATTGTGCATCTGGAATCTCATTTTAAATCAATATGAATATGGCTATTTCTTTAAATCATAGAGAAGAATTGAACACTTTAAAAGGACATACATGTGCTACTTGAAAACTTATCATGGGCTATTTAAGTAACCTCTTTTAATTTAATTTCACATTAAAATTGTGGCTTTCTTGCATGACAACATTTTTGCACGTCATTGTGACTTATTAGAAGTCTACAACAAAAATTAAAATGCTGCACTCATTCTTCCTTTAAACTTGCAGCATTACCAGTCACCCATTAAAAATAAAAGTCATTCAAAATTGCATTTTACAGATTGGTATGCAGAACAGACTAGGGTCCTACTGTGTTATTCAAATACAATTCCTGACTGATTTGGGCCAGTAGAACTTAAAAGAACCTGGAGGCTTCAAAGGGCCCCATTGGCTAAAAAGCTTCTGGCATGCCATTATTGTGCCTGTAGTGGAAAAGGAATGGAGGCATTATACTACTTATTAAACAAGACATGCTCCATGATGTACAGAGAAAAATGTGACACTGCTGCTTCACCATTTAATTTGCTTCCAGAGAAGATAATCACTTGCATTTGGTATTTTGGTTGTTCTTTAATTGGTTAAAAAAAATGTTGACACTCACCATGTTTACGCAATAAGTTTTAACACCACAACTTAGAAATTAACTAGGTTCTTCTACTCAATAAAATACAAATCTAGACACATTTGTGTCTGCAATCTAAGACAGACTTCTATAAAGATGCCAAAATGTCTTATCAACGATTGCCATTATTGAAATGCTATTGCCCTGCAGACCAACTGAGCAATGTTGAAACACGGTGATTAAAATGCAAACAACACTTGTTTACATTCTTAGCAAGAAAACAATATGCAACCCAGCTAAAGTATTAACAAAATTAATATAATTGCTTAGAGAGCAACCGACTAGCAGAATTGAAAAATTATAAAATCCAAATTAATACAAAAAATAATAGAGTCACAAATACAAGCCATTTGATATACAATATGTCATGTCTCAAACTTTTTCACAAGAACTCGCAATCTGAATACTACTCATCACAATCTTTTCGCAAGTTAATTAATAAATGAATTAATAAATAAATAAAATTGAACAAATACTGTAATTACATAAGTTCAGACATGCTGGTAAATGCACCAAATTGCGATCAAATTATTACAAGATGCTCTTAACAAAACTGACACGTTTGACATTCCCTGTGTGTGCTCTTCTTAACATTATCGTACGAAAAATGATCAATCATGATCACAAAACGGCCTAAACTATATTTGGGTATATAACGTTATAAGTTACATAAATCAGCCGGCTGTTTCGCAACAGCAAAATTTAAAGATGGTAGATCTCACGGTATAAATGAAAAACTGTTAAAAGACTAGAGTTGACATACCTACCACTGGAGACGGGCACTTCAGATGAAACCTAGACGGAGCGTCAGCGGTATTTATATGAATGACATCCGTGTTAAAGTGTCCTATTTTATAACCTCTGTGCTCTGACCCAAGAGGGGGATCGGGAAATCGCAACAGATTTATCAATGAAAACAAATACTATTTGCCTTTGTCAAGTTAAAAAAGCAGGAGTGATGCGTTAAGGTAACTTTCAAGCTCAACCTTTCACTGGATATATTAATCAAATGATCGGAATTATGCTACAAGCGGAAAATACATGTTACCTCACCTTCTATCAGAGGATCGCTCAGGTCATATGCTAATATACAGGATGTGACGTCACAAGACCTTTCATACGACGTAGTCTCCAAATAAAAGTAGAAATAGACATTAATACGGGTATGCAGTTCATTGTGGATGTAGTTTTAGTTTTGTTACTTATGTTGTAAACAATATTTATTTTATACTAGCCTCCCTTTATGTTTTGTTTGTCAGTTTAGACCAGTAAGTGTGTTCGAGAGTATTTATCCTTTGAACGAGAATGAATTATGCTAGTACGCACGCGCAAGACATTAACTTCAGATGAGATGCGTGAAGTTGTGACATACCAAAATTAAAAAAAATTAAGTAACAAATGCAATATGATACTCAACTTAACAGCTGTTCAGTGAACGCTAATTAAATAAAGAAATAAACAAGTATCTATTTTGTTGCAGTTGATTTTCAGTACAAAATCATTTTAAAAAAATTTATGAAATAAAAGATGTCCAAGCAAGACAAAATCAACTATACATTTTACAACTGTATTTAATTCTATATCTTGAAGAAGCTTTCTCGCAAAAATGGGGAAATGTTTTGCTTTAAGATCAACAACAAGTGTAACACTTAGAAATTATTTAATATACACAATTTAATACACTTGCAACTCATATACAGGGTATATGTACATATGTAATCTCATAAATGCAGTGATCAGAAATGCACATACAAATGCTCAGTATTTTAAAGAAAATGGAAAAATTTACAATAAAATAAGAATATACAAAGAATATTTTCAAAACACAAAGCAATAAAAAAGTTTATATTTTGTGAATATATATGTACTGGTACTCTGTATTTTCCGTTGTATTATGCCCATATGCTGGTGCATGTAAAAAGTCCCGCATAGGCACATCCTCTGAGAGTTGTGAAGTATAAATTGAAAAGAGTACAAAATATCTCTTAAATCATTGGACATTATTACATGCATATTTGCAATTATACCAATATCATTGGACATTATTATATGCATTTTTGCCATTATGTCAATATCATTGGACATTAATATATGCATCGTTTGCAATTCTGCCAATAATGATTCACTTCTAAATGTTAATTGCACAGCAAATATTGTAATCATGTTGGGTATTTGTAAGCTATCTTTTCAAACTTAAGCAGAAACTCTTAAATGCATCTTTTTGATACTGCTCCAAACACACCAAACAAATCCTGGATTATTATTAATAAAAGGAATGGCCATTAATGTAGTCCACTCCCCTCCGATACTTCTCTTTTTTTCAGCTGTAAAGACTAGATTTATGACAAAATCTGAGCACCAATAAAAGGGTTTCCTGAGAGATAGATTAGAAATAACTGATCAATATCTTACACAAATTCCATTTTGCTTGGCCTTTTGAGTGACGAAGTAACCATTGATAGTGCAAAATGTTTATAATCTAGCACATCAGTGATATGCTCTTTTAAATATCAAAAACAAAAGCTTGTTAAGAAGTACATATTGAAATTTTATCCTTATGGAAAATATAGAGGAAGTTTTTCTTCCCTCCTGTTCATAAACTTTACCCTGTAAATTAAGAATATTTTTATGAAGTCCTCCACAACTTTTTTCAAACAGTTTTTGAGGACTTCATACTTCTGGATAATTCATCCAACTCATTGTCTAAGCCCTGCCAAGAGCTGCTTGCACCCCCTCCATCATTGCTCTGGGACAATGGGTTTCTTGATATTACTACAAAAAGTTCAGTGTCAGCAGCAGCAATCAATGGAACAGTGGAGTTGCAGTCAAAGTCTCTGGTCATTGTGGTGGCTACCTTGTAAGAGAGAAAAATGTGTTAGTTGTGATGAGGTGTTTTAGTTGTAAAATGTGTCAGGTGGGACAATCAATGGCAGATCAAGGGGAGTAAATTTTTGCCAAATTAAATTGAGGTATTTATATATCTTTGTGCCCCTCCTCCCCAGCGAACTTACCAGTGACAATGAATTACCGATAATTGAGAAATTACATCTAAGTACTCTGTGAGGATGTGCTATCACGGCACAGGGATGTTTAAAAAATATGTTGGGAATTACTTGTTAACCATTTTACACTACATGATGTATTAATTTCTATGGTTCTATGAGTCACAAATTTCAATGTTTTTGATAAAATATTAATGTTATCTACAGCAAGCAACAGAAATTAAATTTTCAACCATTCACTTAAAAAAATGATTATCTGTGAATACCAACTAACAAGTGAATCATATCACATATATTGATGCAATTCAGACTAAGGACTAGCAATAATACTGCCCTCTACCTGTAAAATTCTGTCATAAATTCTGAGCCCAGCTCTGTCCCCAGGTCCACCAGGCCGCACTGCGCTGACAAACACCCCCTTTTCATACAATCCATCTGACAGACAAAACCCAAAGTCTTCCCCATGCTCCCTGAACAGAGTCAGTTTATGAAGTTCAACAGGTGTTGGAGCTACATTGTCTTGGCTGGTCCTGTGATTGCCCTGCCCCCTATCTGCAGATCTGAAGTTCTTAGGAACAACAGAACTATTGTCATATGAGATTAAGGAATTGTTTTTTTGTAAGGATGACAAGTCGGACGGGTCCCTGTTTCGCTCAATGCTGCCAGAGCTGCTGGGAGCTCGGTGGATTTCTTTCAACATCATGGTGTCATCAATTTGCCTCAGTAGATCTGATTGGTTGAAATTGGTCGAATCTTGAAATGTTCGATCATTATAACGTTGTCTATGTTTGTTTGCGTAACTGGGATAGTTGTTGTGTTCCCAATCATCCTCAGAAATGTGGAGCTCCTTGTCAGAGTCACACTCATCAGCATCACTGTCCTTTGTTTGCCTTCTACGACTGCTGTTGTTGGAATTACCTGAAACACCTAATCAGAATATTTAAATCAATATTTGACAAATGATTTTTAAGAAACAGTTAAATTTGTGCATGAAATATATATAACTTGATAGTGAAAAAAATTTGAAATACATTAAATGTAAAGGTACTGTTTACAATTTGTTTTACTCAATAGGCAAGTTCAATGAGCATGCATTAGCTTAGAAATGTTAATTTTATCTGCATCATTCCCTTTTTTTCTACATAAATCAACTATGATGAGCAATATTAACAGCAATGTAATGACCAATAATTAGTAATCACCCCTGCTTCAACACTACTGACTCCATGTTAGGCACTCAGCACTTAGAGGTTGAAGCAAGGGTAATGTTCCTGGTCTGGCAGTGAAAGATATTGTTTGTGTGTTAGCTTTCAGTGCTTCATCAATAGCTGGACTGTATTTTCCTCAGGGCTGCAAGAGTGTCAACATCCAGTCTGTGTCAGAGCCAAAACTGATCAGGCATGCATTTTACACTGCACTGAGACATATGTGTTGTGTGGTATGTAAGAACTCAAATTTACATAATTTTACTTTTGAGTGATTTAATACATTACCTGAATGTGTTGATATGGGACTCTTAGTTGTGGCACTGCTTTCAATTCCACTAGAGTGCAGCACTGGTTTTAAATGTGGGTTTTCTGCCCCTGAGCCATCCCACGACTCCACAGCACTGTCCACACTGGGGACATTGTGGTCATAGCGGTCAGTGTAACTGTGTCTGTACAGGTTCTGGAGTTAGATGATAAGTATTAACTTAAAGCGTAGAAAATCAGTTTAATTATATCTGTTCCTTAAAAAAAACTATTAAATGGTCAATTCTGTCAGACTGTCTGAGACTGAAATTAATGCTGTGAACAATTTCTTTATTTTTTAAACAACTTAAACACTAGCAGTCTGTAAGTGTTTATATACAACATTGTTGATAATAAAATCCTTCGCGAAAATATTACCTGTTGTCTTCCTTGCTCATTTCCATTGTGTCTTCGTCCTGCAACAAAGCAAAATGTAGCAGTACAAGGGAATAATTGGCATCTCTTTTTTTTTTTTCAAATTTCCATAAATTTTTCTTGGTAGGAATTTGAAAAGAAATCTTAATCATTATAAGCTGCTCTATTTACTCACTTGTGCAGGCACTGGTTGGGCGAGTGACTTTTAAAGTGACAGTCTCCCCTGCATTTTGTAGCATGTGTATGGCGTCAGACAGGGACCGACCTCGTAATGTGTGTCCATTGATAGCGAGAAGGCGGTCACCAATGTGCAAGGCACCAGTTCTGAAATCACAAAACCTCCTGAATAATCACATCTCAGTTGTCAACAGTTAATATATAAATAAATGATATTTAGCCACTGAATATCATTGAACATGCCAAACTGTGTCAACCTTGAGTTTCAGATTCTACTGGAATTTCATACCCAGCACATGTTAGACCTTCCTCATTGAAAACAGCATACTAGACCTGGTGATCAAGGAGTTTAAAACAGACTCTGAAATTAAGGGTGTGAACGTCTTACCTTTCCGCCAGTCCTCCTTCACTAAGTTCTGATATAATAATGGGATCAAATGCCTCCTCTGTGCCAGATATTGTGATTCCCAGTGGTCCGCCATATCTCTGTAACTCCACTGTGTATGTCACTGACATCTCTGGACTGGGCTCATCTTGAAAGTAATATGGGTTCATCAAATAATTCATTAACTGATTGCACATTCTTATTCTGACAATGAGATGTCAACTTTTGTTTAGTTCCAACAAAAAGGATATTTCTATGAAGAGTAAATATGCAATACTGTAAACAATTTTGGTCTCATGAGCAAATATCTTTAAAGTCATACAATTCAAAGACTACCAAAACTTTTATCAAGATATACAAATACCACATAAGTACAATAATCATGATATCAATATGTTTAACTCAGCTACTACACACTATGTCTCACCTCCATAAGTCTCATCCTTCCGTATTCTCAAAGTCACAATATCACCAGAGTTCTGTATTATCTGATATGCGTCATCCAGTGAGCATGTCTCTAGGCGTATGTTGTCCACAGCCAGTAGGCTATCACCAGGGTGTATGGAGCCACATCTGTGGGCAACGCTGCCCTTTTTCACGTCTGATATCAGAAGGCAGTCACTTGGCTTGCGATTCTTAGGACCTGGGGAAGTAAGAGAAATTTGAGTGTGTGTGTGAGGTGTGACAGGGTTAGGGGAAACAATGTGTTAGATGTACACACAAATCCTTATCCTAGACTGATTTTCATCATCAGGCCGATTTTCTTTAACTGAAATCCAAATAACATTAACATGCCACCTGCTGTAGTCACATCTAGTCACATACATGTACAAGGGCATGCATGCACGCACTATGCACATACTTATGCACACAGTTACAAGGTGTGATACCTACAGCTTAGAGTGATGCCCAGAGTGCCTCCTTTCTTTGCAAGTTTTACATTAAAGATGCCACAACTTGGGACTACAGAATCTGAAAAAAACAAATTCACTTTGGCATTAAATTCAAAGAAATTTTTCCAGACAAGATAAAAGGGGTGAACAAAAGCCTTGTACAGATACAAATTGACAATCATTCAATTGTGGACAGGACCTGGTATTACTGAAGAACTTTTGACTAAAAATTAGTTTTAACTTTGAATCAAATAAGTTTTGGTCGACTTAATTTTCAGATAAATCCACACTTAACTACTGGTGTAAAACATACCCCCCCGGTATTAACAACTGCCTTGTTTCAACAACAAAATGATGATCTGGCTCATAAACATGTAACAATATGACCGAAACCTAATCCAGGTTGCCCAAGCCAAGACTCACCTGCGATATCTAGCTCTATCTCCAGTGTAATTCTCTTCCCTGATTCTCGTATAAGCTGGTTGACCTCCTCCATTATTTTGTCCTCCAGTAACTGGCCATTGATGGAAATGATGCGATCCCCTTCTTGTATGACACCACTCCTAGAAAATGTGCAATTCAGCTATAAAACAAGGTTTCTGTTCAGGTTTAATACTTTTGACATCACTTTGGCAAATTGCCACACCATTAAAACCTAGTGCCAATTTTTAAAAAAAATTTGTATTATGTAAGCTTCTTTCAAAAATTCCTGAACGATTTGTTACTCAAAAGGATGAAACTGCATTTCTATTAGAAACTTTTTCCTTCAGCAAATTTTTCCTCGTTTTCATTTTATTTAAAACTTTTTTCACTTTTCCATAAAATCAGGAATTTTGGCCAAAGTCTAACAAGACTGTTTCCTAAACTATCCAATTACATACCTTTCAGCAACACCTCCTCTCTCAATATAACTAATAGCTGGTGGCTCTGACAGCATCTCTGTGGAGAACACTCCCCCTTCCAGAGCAAAGCCAAAACCTTTATGATTGGCCACCAGGGACACCTCTAAGGTATCCTGGTGGCACACTTGTCCTGTTGGTGCCACTGACAGAGATGACACCAGCGACACTGAAACCGAAAGATAACCTTGAACCACGGTACTGCTGTCATTGAATTTAGCAGGCTGAAGTGCACTAAGAAAGTTTTCTTTTTTCCTTCAAATCCTTTATATCTTTGTTTTTTTCTTTGGGGATTTGAAATGGCTTCAACAGCAGATATTACATGGCAACCAGCAGTGTGTTAGATATACCCAAATTATGTATGTTAAGCATGTACCATTTACATCGCAATGCAGGCCAATCCACAATATTTTCCTATGTACTATAACTGAAACTATAACAATTATCATTGTTTTTCTAAATATAAAATTTAAGACAGTTGAAAAGAGCAATTGCTTCATTTCATGTTTTTCTTCCAGAGATATAAAAAGACAGTTAAAGTTTTCATAACAAAAACAATGTTACAGAAAGAGTAAAAACTGCAGGATGGCCAATATGTTACTTCCACTCACAGCTGGACTGTTTCCTATCTTTTTCCCTTGACCACTTCAGACTCTGTGTCTTCCTGACTGTCGACCTGGCAGACCCCCTGGCAGTGGCGCTGTTGTACCTGCCTAGTGTGTCCACAGAGGACCTCATGGTACCGACCATGGTACCCATCATGGGGTTAGGGGGTACCGTGGTGCCCATGGAGGTCAAGGTACCGTATTTCTGCATGGTACCGAAACTGGAGCAACTGTTACTGGAGGAGATGGTGGTCTTGGGTGGTGGCAGGGCTGAAAAAAATTGTGAAAAACATTAATATTTCTTTCAGTGTTGAACTTCCATAAAGCTCTAACAGACAAGGATTGTGAGTGTGGGTCTGTGTATACATGTGCAAGAATGTTTATCATTACCTCTCCCAAGCTGAATCTAACTTATCTTTTTTCTGATCTTTTCTGGTTAAATACCTTCCTCTGTTACTCTGCATAAGATATGCCTACAAACAGGTGCATGCAAACATGCTGTAACAAACACAAATCTATCACGAAACTCAAACTGACTTTCCCTTAGTCCGAATCAGTAGACAGATAAAGAGCTTAACCATACCATTGATACTTCTCCTTAGCTGACTCTGTGGTATCACCTCCAGCTTGATCTGCTCTCCCACACTGGACTTGAGCAGCTGGGTAGCCTCAGCCACTGTCATGTGTTCCAAATTGGTGCCATCGATGGACAGGATCTGGTCACCCAGATTTAAGGCCCCACATCTGGAAAGAACAGTGGAGAATGGGCAAATGTTGGGGTATAGAGGAAATGCTGTAAAATATTCACAATCAACAATTTTCATATTTTAAACCAAATTTTTTTCAAAATCATTAATAAAAATTGACCTGAATATACAATGGTTGATTCTGAACTTAGACTAAACAATGGTTTCTTTGAAATGATGGGGTCTCTTTCTGAGACAGAAGAAAAACTAATTTGCAAATGAGTCTTAAAATTATTAGTTGTCTATGTATTATGTGCCGTGAGTTAGTACTCAAAATGCTGAGGGAAACAGCTATATTGCCTAACAATGTCAAAACATTGTTTCTGTCATTTGTGATCATAATGCTTTAGACATATTGTTAATAAAGAGATTTGGCCACACATCTGGTATCCTACAACCCATACCAACCTATCTGCTATACTAGCTTGGCGTATGTGAGATATACAAATGACCTGTCTTCCTCTGATATTGGACAGCTGTAACACTATGCCTAGGTTGGCACCAGGGGTTTTGTCAATCTCAACCAACAATGGACCACAGGCATTTTCAACTGCATCTGTAACAATTTAAAAGTTTCATTTCTTATCAAAAAAGTGTTCATATATATATAAACAGTATATGACATGTGTGACATAGAATAGATCAAGTTAAGCTATTTGAAATAACACTGTATGCTTACACGTTTTTAAATACAGTTCTAGATTTTTGGACAGAAAAACCCATCACATGTATAAGCTTTCCAATTCTTGGTGCAAATGCTGCCACAAGATGACCACCATTCTCATCATCATCATCATCACCATCATCATCAACATCATCAGCAACAATCTCAATCTCATATGACATGAGGGTTTCTAATGCTCTTCCCCCACCCATTCTTACCCATAATAGAGACATTGTATTCCACCATGAACACTGCCTCCAGGTTGCAGTGGTATAAGATATCCAGGGCCTCCAGTAGAGAGGATGATGTCAGGTCAATACCATTGACAGCAAGGATACGGTCACCAGCCCTCAAGGTGCCTTCCCTGGAATGATAGGAAATGCAGATCATATTATTAAGCTTCTCAGCATATTGATATAGCACATAAGCAACCAAAAACATTTGTTCATTTCATTCACAATTTTATATGTTTAAAATTTAGTTTTGGATCCTGAATCCAGTAAATCAAACAGAAGAACAGTAAGTGACCAGTTGTTATTTTGGCAAATTGTCTGCAAATGACCAAAAAGGTAAACTGAACCAATTCAACACCAGAGAACATATCAGTTGGAAATCTTTTAAAAAAATTATCAGCAAAATATTGAACACTTACATAAAGTTTAAAAGAGAAACCATATACGTCAAAACCTGAGACAGATAACTTTATCATTTCTCCAAATGTCTGCTGCAAATATTGACATTTGTATTCCCACCCACCTGTCTGCAGCGCCACCTGGCCTTATGTGTGTCACCGTCAGAGGGCGACACTTGATCCTCTCTGAGCATATTCCGCCCCTCAGTGTGAAGCCAAAACTGTTGTCGTCCATCTCCAGTTTGACCTCCACCACCTTGGTTTGTACAGTGAAGCTGTTCTGGGGGGCTACAGGGAGGACATGTGAATAACATTCAATGTATTATATGCCTTTTACTTTGGAGACACATTTGATATCTTATTACCAATACAAACCTATCTGCTATACTAGCTTGGTACATGTGAGATATACAGATCTGACCCGTCTTCCTCTGATATTTGACAACTGTAACACTATCGGATGAGCAGGCCTCAGAAAAATATTTGACTCTATGCAAATCATAATTTTTTCAACAGAATATTTTATATAGGAATAATGGAAAATTTATTTATAACAACTTTAAAATTTCAAACAGTCCCTCGGTTTAGTTACTTTGAAAATAAAAGCTCACTTACAAAACCCAAAATTCTTTACTGTGACCCATTTTCTCACTGAAGATCAATGACAAATATTAATAAGTGTCTGAAAAGTGACTAACATACAGTGCGAATGACCATGTACATTTGTACCCAGCAGCCAATATGGTTTACTTAATTCACATTTTTACCATAATCTGGCAGTTCATATTCCACTTCCAGTACCACCCTGTCTCCAGCATTCTTGAGCAAATTAATAATCTCATTGTGTGCAAGCGTTGCTGTTCGGATACCATTCACAGAGATGATCAGATCTCCAACTTCCAGCTGGTCACTTCTAAAAATAAATTATGAAAAAAAAAAAAAATAATAATTATAACAAAAAGCCTTTATCACACTGATATCAACACATTGAAAAACTCACGGTGGAAAAGTTTTTATTCTGATCTTTTACAACAGATTTCTTTTTAGTCTAGTTTGTATTCTACAGTATGGAAGAGAGAAGGCAGTTATGGCAATTAAAAGAATTTTTCAAACACCTTATTTTTTCAATTATTTTACTTCTAGTCTTCAACGCATCTTAAAAATGTCTTATTTTCAGACAGTGACAATAATGCACCTTCTGACACAAATTCAACCATATTTTCAAAACTACAGAATCAACATTTTATAAGTATCAATTATTGAACTGTTTATTGTGGCAACAAATTTACTGCACTACTTCATGTTGCCCAAATTTATAGAGTAATTGCCACAGTGGTTACCTGTGAGCTATACTGCCTGGTCTGAGGTTGGAGATTCTTGGGATATCACCTTTGTCTACTCCACCTTAAAATATGAAAACTATGATGGTGAATGACATGAACACATTTCATCAGCTGAGGGGAGGAGAGCTTAGTGCACCACCTGCCCTTTTTTTTCATTTTTTAGTCCGATATATCAGTTCATGTACAGATTAACTAAGAATACAAGAAGACTAATTGATTTAGATCGTAAGACGGCCTGTAAGATTAATATGGAGCAAAATAAGTAAAAAATTTACAAAGTAAAACAAATTAATATGTTGTATAATTGGAGAAATTAGACAGAACGCTTGAACCTGAATCCCAAACTGAAGTCAGATAGGTTAGTTATGCCATAAAACACTTGGTCCTATACCCTAATACTTCTAATACCCATTGTATACCTAGTCTTAACCCCCACCCCCCCCCAACCTCGCCTTAGCCCCACAAACACACATACACATAGACACATTTCCATACCCCTCCATACCCCTTCTCCTTTCCCCTTTTTTTTTATTGGGGGATTCAAGACAGTACTGTAGTTTTGAGCAACTTGATTTGTCCAATATTTCACTTCCAATGTTGGCAGTGGTGCAATAAAGAGGCGTGGCTGTCATAGAAGAAACTCTATATAACCACAAGTACCAGAAACCTGGCAGGGAATATCTTAAGATCTTACACCATACATCAAGTATCTTTTTTATCTACGACTTTTTTTAATCTTATGTCATGACTCATCCAATAGAGCAAGAGCAGATGTTACGATCTGCGGGATGCTGAAAGATGGTTTTTGGAATAGTTACGCCAACTCCTACGGAGCCCTACTGGGGCACTACATCAAAAAATAAATATAGTAATTGCTTGGCAAATGCAGAGGATAATTACGCTGATACTTACAGAGCTCTACATCAAAATAAGAAACTGTTTGGCAAGTATTAGTGATACTTAACTTTGTCTGAAGAAAAATATTTGATCATTTTGTCTGTTTTATCATTAATCGCTTCTAGCAAAAGCCACTTGACTGACAGTGTATCATTTTTTCACCAACATACAGTAATAGATAATGATAGAATGTTCTAATCAGTAGAAAGATTTTTTGCTACAAAAATCAATACACATATAAAGACAATGATTCTTTCCTAAAATAACTTTTTCAAAATAATTACTTCCTACTGAAAGACAAATAAAGTCACTATCCAAAAAAAAAAAAAAAAAAAAAAAAATATATATATATATATATATATATATATATATATATATATATATATATATATATATATATATTTCTGCAAAGTTTGATAATCACCCACTCAGATGTGATCCTAGGCTTAAAAAAAAAAAAAAAAAAAAAAAAACTAAACATTTATCATGGGACCCAACACCTAACCTTGACAAATCTCAGGAACCAGGATTGAATTTAAAAATGCGAAATTCCACGAAAAAAAGCTCCTGTCTGCCCACTGATGCCAATGTCCTAGACCTATGTCAAAAAGTATCCTTCCAAACAGCCAAAGCACTCAACTTTCAAGTTCCCTGTCCAAAGAGAAGCTGTGACTCTCTTTAATTTCTCACTCCTTCTCTTTGAAATGTGTTTTTGAAAATACATATTTACCAGATCAAAAATAGCCATTTCCTGTTCTATTCTGACCTTTACTTAAAGAGAAGTGGAGAGGAAATATGTGTGTGGCATTAAGCCAGAGGTCAGACCAGTGGGGAAAAGTAACAACTCTTCTGATCTTTTCTTCTTTCATTCATTTGTTCATTCGAAGATCATCCCAAAGACAGTTCATGTTATAATAATAATAATAATAATAATAATAATAATAATAATAATAATAATAATAATAATAATAATAATAATAATAATAACAACAACAACAACAACAAAAGAGATGCCTTAAAGACTCTTTGCTAAATAAATAAATAAATAAATAAATAAATAAATGAATAAATAAATAAATAAATAATTCTATGGCACTCAACTAATATATACATTTAGAAAAATGCATTCAAAATAATCCTTTTTCGTCTTTTCAGTGTCCACTTACCTTTATGAATAACCTATTGAAGCATTAATAAATTTAAAGCCAATATCAAACAGGTTATTGATTTCCCCAAATATATATAGTATTCAACAGTGAATGTTCTAAAAATTGAAGTTTAATGAAGTTATTTTATAATAAATCTTTACATAATGATATAAAATAACATACTTGTTAAAACATCCACCAACGATTTAAAAATCTTACAGTAAGTGTTATTACCTATTTTGAACAGTTTCTGCAAATTTTTTCATCAGTTAGAACTTACCTGACACCGTAAGTCCCAAGCTGCAGCCTTCTTTTTTAAACAACTCCACAAAACAGGTCCCCTTCCTGTCATCTGAAAATCAAAAACACTAAATATTTTAAGTCTTTAAATCATCAGTAAAGGAGTTATACATTTCTGGAGGATTCTTTTTATTTATACAATCATAAAACAATTTCAGGAAAAAAATTCACTCTTTGAGATCTTGCTCCTGCCCTCTCTGGCATCTCAGGGCTATGTTCAATACACGAGTTAAACTTTTGAAGCGCGTCAACCAAAAATACCAATTACATATATAAACATTTGATAATATCTTTTTTTAAAATCAAGCTAAAAATCAATTTTCATTTTATCGTTCAGTAAATTTTTATCAAATCTTTAAATTCAATGCCATCCAAGATAGAGTAATTGAACAATCTGTAAAATCAGAGAAGTCTGTTATCAAAAATGCTATTTCAGCATATGTGTTAAGGTGCATAAATCATCGAAGTTTTTTTTAGAAAAACAGCACTGGTACACAAGTTAAAATGCAAACTTTTCCTAGAGCAAAAAAATATTCAGAAAGTTCCTTGCCAATTTATTATAAAGGTGTGAAAATGAAAACCTGAGATAACAGTGCCAGTCAAAATAAACATGGCTTCTTGTAGGTCAGAATGGGTGTGTAATGGCCCTTTTCCATTTAATTGGTAACATAATACTGCTGATCAATTTCAATAAAAACATCTGCTAAATCTGAAAATTAATTTCTGGACCATTATTCTGTCTACAAATGTACAGCTTTATTTTCATATAGTCTCAGCCATCAAAACCATTTTTTTTAATCTTTGCATTAATATTGTAAAATATCAAGACTTGATCAAGAAATGAAAACCTCCCTGTAACTCTCTGAATTTTTTCCATTTTAGAAACGCGGAAGAAAAATCCTAAATAAA